GCCTTTATGGACACCACTCAAGGGAGTGTGCTGATATTCCCACAGAACTTACCAGCATGACTCCGCAAATCTTTCTCTGAGTGGCAGTCGTTCAGGTACAGCCACGTGCACGTCTATACTTAAGGTTATTTGTTGTATTTGTACATTTATTCTGCAAAGATAGGTTCTGAACTTCCTTTGCCGTCATTTAGCTATTAAACATTACTTCTGTGATCCTACTGTAACTCTTTGCAGAGAGTTTTAGATCTCATTAGCCTTTATAAATCTTGATTCTTCACAGCTTTAGTCAACTAACTGTTCACGTTCTTTTTCAGAACTTTTAAATAAAAATGTTGAACATCACAAATCCCAGAACAGAATCTTGAGGCACCCTACTGGTAACCTCTCTCCACTGTAAAATTTGAGCACTTGTTCCTTCCGATCATTTAATCAGATACTAACCAGCAAGCTAACCTCTTCTTTCACACACTGAGAGTTCGTTAAACTTTACCTAGGGAACTTCTTGATAGCTTTTTGCAAATTGAAGTAGGAAGTATCAAGGGAATACCCACATGCTTGCTGAGCATTCCAAAAACTCTAACAGATTTTTGAAATTTTACCTTCCTCTAACACAATCCATCTTAACCCTTTCTGAATTAGGAATTTGAAGGAAACCCCTGCTCTAACAAGGAAAGCTGGGAGAGAAAGGGAGAAACACACCAGAAAAAGCAATGCCATAAACCATTCCATTTTATGGTTTTTTTTTCCCCTGCGACCTCTGTAGGCTATATCTACATTAGGAAGTAATAGAGGGCATCAGGAATGCGCTTTTGAAGAGATATAGTTAGTACCAAGGTCCCAAAACACACCTGATGTGTGTTTGGATGAGGGTTGGTTTGGACTACTTGGTGAATCTTGCCTGGACCCTTGGACTTACTGCCCATTAGTATTTGGAAAGTAATAGGTATAGTCCCCAGGCACAACTTTCAGTTTAGTTATATCCAAAGGGATTCCGTTTTCAGGTTCCCGGACTGTTGCAAGACACAAAGCAAAGCACAATTAAGCTTTTGAAGTACATCCTTCAGTCCTTCCCGCTCATGCCTGATCCAGACAAAAACTCTAATGTAGATGCACTTATAGTAAAAAGAAGCATAAGAGCAAAAGATTTTCCTTTTATTACACTAATTATAAAAAGTGTCATTCCTTCCTCATAAGATAAATCTGTACTTACCCATTGAAACCTTTGAAATCCATTATTAATATCTTTTAGAAGAAACCTAAAAGAAATGAAGAGCCAGAATCCTATGTATTAAACTGCTATTTTTCTTCACTGAGATGTCTTCTGAGGGGTTAAGCATAGAAGACAAAGGACAGCATCAAAGTTACATTTGGAATAGTGTGGGTAAATGAAGGAACAGATGGAAAATCAAATTCTTGATTTATCTGGACATGTTTCAAGTTCCAATACTGACAGCAAGTAGCTGGTCCATCTCTGTGAAATGTACATGCAAAAAGATGACCCCGATTCAACAGGTTTTGTGTATTTCTCACAATTTTTTAATCAATATGTTATTCTTACAGAGCCAAAATATATTCATAGGAATGCCAAATTTGGATGAACTTTCTACTTTTAAAAGCCTCTGTGCCAAGATATGTCAGAGATGCAATATAATGTATAAACAACCTCAATTCAGGATATTTCCCTGCTACTCTCTCACCAGCAGGTGGCAGACAATGCACATTTTAGACATATTTTAATTTTTTCCCCCTATTTTACTTCAACTTGGAACTTTCAAGGTTTCACAGTAAATGAACTCTGACAGTTTTAGTTTATTTTAGTAATAATCACAAGACGATCTTTTCTGCAAATACAATAAATGTTATCCAAGAGCAATTTGGAGCAATCAGTATTGATATTTATACCATGTGTGTTGATTGAAAAGCTCTTGGCTGTAAGAATGGAATATGAATCTATCCAGAATGTTATGAATATCTTCTAGCATATGCTCGTGTGGGAGCTATAAAAGTGAGTTTATTATAATTAGTGGAAAAATAGTTTTGTTATAAATTAAAAAGGGAAAAGAAATCTATACTATTAGCTTCAGCAGTTCAACTAACTTTTTTTTAATCTATTCTTTGATGTTCTTCTGTTTATTAGGATACACTCCTCTTCAGCATTTCAAAGGTTTTTTTCAATCTGAATGTGATTTTTGGAGAGTGCAGGAAAGACTTTCAAAAGGACAAAAAGCACCAAATCAGTAACAATGAAAAAAGCAAAAAACTGTAGTCAGCTGGCTAACACTGCATGTAATACTAAACTTCATGTCCTTTCCGTTAAAACCATCAAACAAGAGCTGTCCTGTGTAACATGCCCTAATGAACCCAGAGCCCCTTAAGTGGAATATACTTGGTTCTCTTCAGGGCTTGAATAATTAAAGTGTGTATTGTACAGCCATTAGCCAGCCAGTAGAGGAAGTTGGGAAGTGTATCTGTCCTTACAACACCACCTCCTCTCTACCTTTCACAACTGTCTTTGTCAGATTGTTGGGTAGGCTGCTCCTACTTCCAGCTGAAGTTCTGCTCTATGACATGATATTCTCTCCTAAATGAACCGTTAATTTACCATTTTGCATATGTGCAGAATTTTTATATGTGTTTCAGAAAGAAAATTCCTGAATAGACCTTACACTGCTAGACACAAAATGTAGAACTCAATATGTAGATTTATTCACAGAGAAAACTATGGTTTGAACAACTATAAAAAAGTATGGTAAGTTATTCAGCCCACAGAAAAAAAACCTCAGAAGCATTGCAGCCAAGAAATTTAAAAGTAATTTAAGAATTCTGCTAGTGGCATGGCACTAATATTCTTCACACACACAGAGACACCTTATTCGTTAGATGGTTATTCTTACGGAGAACTATTTTGTGGGCTAGCAAAAGTCCAATAGATCAGATATATCTGCTTGATGCCACTGAGATATCTGCACGAGTAACATCTGTGTAGAAGGATCCTGAATAAGTATGCAGCAGAACATGAAGAACACACAAGGTCTTATCTAGTAATACCTCACTCAGGACAGGCAGAGATGTTGTCATCCACAAAGAAAGCATATCCTTCTTTCTGAGCATTCAGGAGGAAGGGCAGTGAGGAAAAGGTGCTCCAGATCTAGCCAAGGTCTCCCTGACACTAAAAGAAGGGCTGTCTCTTATAATTACTTTTACAGTTCATTCTAAGAGATCCTCAGCTGATAGTCACATTTGATCACTGTCCAATGGCATTTTTACTCTAGATATTAGTTGTAAGGATTTGCAGTGGGCTATTACTCCAAGAAGGCAAGAGATTATTAGTATAAATCAACGTGTCTGGTGAGGAGAAGAGGACTCTTGCAGACTCACATTGCCTGTTCGTAGGAACAGAACTTTTAGAGTGCATAGATATGTTCATATTTTTTCTGATTCAAACTCTTGTTGGTCTGGTAATTCACATGATGTTTTATCAGCATTCACAACAAAGTTCTCATCCTACTACAGTGCAAATGGACATATTTTTGGGTCCCACCGATTAGACAAACATATTAGCATAAAGTGCTATTAAGTTCAATCTTCTACAGTCAGTGGTTTATTAGTTTTCATTTAGGAAAGGAGATCAGTAAAAACTCTGCTTACATCAGTGCATAAGTTTTTCTGCTTCTAGGCTTAGTGACATTTTAAGACATGCAAGCTCTATTTTATTCACAAACAGTAATACTTCCTTGGCAATAACAGGAAATAAAGCAATTAGATAAATCATTTTTTAAGTCAACACTGGTGTCTTAGCATAACTAAAGTTTGGCTCATGAATATACACAATTCTAAAGCATTTGGAAATCTACAGTCCCATGTGAAAATATTAATTTATATTTAAATTGCTAACTGCTTACCCATCCTAACAATATTAATATTAAGAGTGTGACATTAACTCTCTGCTGAATTTGAGATGTAGGTCAGTTACACATAGAGTTGCCAAACTATAGTTGGAAAATATTACTTCATCAAAGAATTAGCCTTGGTACAACAGCGAATAGCAGAGCCACATGTCCTAATATATGTCAGCCTGGCGCCACTATTGTATGCAGAACTATTTGGATATTTCTATCACTACTCTGGTTCAGTATCAACACGCCTTCTGATATGCACTCCCCCAGCAATATGAACGTGAACAGCACACTGACTTTTCTGAAGCCTCTCTTCGCACTCAGTTGCAATTTTCTTTGTTATTAGCACCTTCATACATCTTCTTCAACAAGTCACAAAAGGTTGATGTTAGCTTATTAAATATTTGACAGAATATTGCTGTTGTGAGTTAAATCTTGCAATTTAAACTTAACAGATAGTAATGGTGAGATTTACAAGAAAATATCTACCCTTCCAACAAAGGACTAGAAAATAAAATGAAGCAGTGAACTGCTTAATGCATGTAGCTTCTGATTAACATTAATGCTGCTCCACAGATGTCAAGCTAGGAAATACCTATACGCTCTCATGGCTCGGCACTTTTCTTTGTTTCCTCACTGCAGCTGCAGACTGATGGCTCTAAAAGGTAAGTTTACTTCACTGTCAGGTTTAAAGTTCTATTAAGCTATGGCTGGAGATTTCATTTTCTGTTTTAACAATAGTCTAGACATATGTACATCTCAAATAGGGATAAGGAAAGTTCTCTGATGAGCAAGTCAGCTGGCCATGGTTGCTCCTGCAGCAAGATAGTCATTCACTCTGGTGGGCTTTAAGCTCTGTAGTGGAGCCTCAGACGACTTCATGGAAAGAAAAGCACTTTTAAAGGAAAGTCTGTTTGAACATATACATGTGTGTTTAAATTAAAGTGACAGACAGAAAAGAAATAGGACTGGTGTGGGTGACGTGCCTAATAAAAAATGACTAGTGATCAATGATTTTCTACCTTGACCGGTAATTTCTTTCAAGATGTAAGGTAAACTTCTGATTCCAATATTACAAAGAACTTCAGTGCAGTTCTTGCTTACCTTTCACTGGACAATCAACCATAATATTTGCTCCAATTCTTGCCACGATTGTACCTCCAACAACTGCTGAGAGACTGCTGGCTTCCAGATTTGTTACATTTAACTCAGAGGACAAGATGACAGGAATCTCTTTGAAATTAAAGGGATAATCAGTTTTAAAAGCTTTATTTGGCTTTTAAGTATACATCCTGTATTTAAATTCATCATGTTTGGAACAGATTTCAGTTTGCAAAGCAGCAGCCAGAAAATACAGGTGGGTAGATACAAGCAGACTGAGTTCACACCTGCTGTGGTTTTAGAGCAACAAAACCATCTTATTGCTACCTATTAAGTCAGGCAGAGTTTCAGGGATTGCCAACAAAAGAAACTATTTCACATTGGAGTTGGGATGGGTGCTTATATATATAAAAAAACCCCAAAACCGACCAACAAAACAAAACGTGCCTGACGCTGTGGATGCTACAGTCATACCTGCACGCAATAGCAATGATGTTTCCATATCAATACCAAAGTCATTGACAACCAGGCATCCATATGTACCAAGTTCCTTTTGACTAGGATTCCGAATCTGCACTTTTCCAATGGTGTCCAGGATCACCCTGCAGAATATTCAAGGAAAGACAAGGGTTACTACCCTGGGACAAACCCAGCTGAATCTTCTTGCAAGAGTTACAGATACATCAGGAAACCTCCTTTTTAGGAGTTTACCATTCTAGACCACTGCATGCAGTAACAGTTCTGCCTCCGTTGTGGTGACAAAAGGGCAACGCTAAGGGATACGTGCAGGGAAGATTCTTCACATATCCCTCTACAAAGCTGTGTCCTAGCTGCAGCCCTTCGGAGGACAGCGAGTTTGCTACTAGAAACCAGAATCCCTCGGGAACAACAGCATGAATAAATTAGACTACCACGATTAAAAGTATTAGGCTTGGCAAGAAATCCATCTCTCCAGAGCAAGCCTGGTTTTCAGCAGGATTGGGGAATTCACAAATGTATGGTCTAATCTGACTTCCAAATTACTCCAGGTTTTGGTGGTTTTTTGTTTTTAAAATTATCATCATTAAAGCTAAAGTCTTCCACCAAAACCCCACAGGTGTCTTGAATACCTTGCCTGCCATCTGAGGGGCAAGATAGGAGAGAGTGCATCACAGGCTGGGGAAGAGGCTGAAAATAGCAGCCTGGACTTTTCCCCCTTGTTACCTTTCTTAGCAGTAAGTTACACAAGTTATGCCATACACTCATTACGTTCAAAAAAACTGTAGCTCTGGCGTTCTCCCACACTGAGTACACTTACAAAAGCAAGAGATACACAAAAACATATTAAAAATACTTATGTCTCAACAAAACAAACCACCTCATGCATGGCTCAAGTATGGCCTTCTTTCACAAACCTGACAGATAAACAGCCCGTTTACCCCCTATACATAGATGAAATGCTATTAACGCTACTGGCTTTTGAGCACACACACACATATATATGGATTTGTGTATAAGAGACCTTACTGTGAAAAAAATCGGAAAGAAACCTACTTTGCCAATGTATCCCGTAAGTGCAAAAATATCGGTCTGGGCTAAAACGCAGGCAGTTTGTGGAAGTAGACATTAGGAATCAAACAGACACTTGTGAATAAACAAAACACCATCATGTCCAAAAAAATGAAAGTATCACTTGCAACAAATTAATGGGGAATTATGCATATTTCATAAAATAAACATAACTGGTGGGAGCTACATGGTTCCAAAAACATTTGCACTTTTAAAAATGGCTTAGTTTTGGTGTCTTTGCTTTAATTGATAGCCCTGCAGAAGTATATTTTTCTTGGCAGTGCAGTTAATCAGTTAAGTATGTTGAGAAATATCCAAAAGCGCCTTTATCATTTCAGAATCGTTTTTTTCATTACTCAAGAGCTAGCTATAATTCCAAGAGGCTCACACACGAAGTTAATGTTAATATTATCAGCTGAGCTTCTAATTTATCAGCAATGAAGTTAAAGTATTTGCTCAGTCTTGGGCAAATATCTGAATATAACACACTTGCTGGACTTGTTCTTCAGGTATAGTTCACAAATGTGATGGTAATACAGGTCCTTTATTATTTTGTATTCCACTATCCTCAACAGAAATATCTGTAAACTCTAAAGTACTGAAAAAAATCCATAAAAGCTCATTCTTTCTTTTAAAATTGAAGTTATGCAGCTGCAGTTATACCTGAAGATTTACTATGTTGAAGAATGGTGAGGGTACCAGTGATATTTTCCCTCCTTAGAATGAGTAAGAACTAAGATGTCTTTTCATCTCTACAATGGCAGAAGTTTTTAATGTGTTCCCACTGTATTTGGTTTCTGAACAAATCCAGCAGGATTCTTAATTTGAGTATAAATCTGTTAATTTTCTGATGCAGCTGAAATGATTAAGGCAGATCACAAAATACAGTCAGGACATCCAAAACAGTTCACCTAGTAAAAAAAAGTCAATCCTCCCACATAATATTGTGGAAATGGACATACACTTGGATGTTAGTAAAACCAAACAACATCACAGACACTTGAAAGAAAAAAAAAATTACTTAAATAAAAAGATGGAAGGCACAGTGTTCACACTTATCTCATTTTTACAACAGTATGTTTTAATATTGCACAGCAGGGTGGATTTTTACAGTTGATAGTGACATAATAAGTCATTCAAGAATAAAAGAGAAGATATTTACTTACTTCTCAGAGGCTTTTAATGTCTCGCCATCTTTTGTCCAAGTATATTTCACTTCACTAATACCAGCTGTTTCACACAGGAGATTGACAGCATGAGTATTCTTGGTCAGAAAAACTGTATTTCCAATTCGTACAGTCACTGTTTTGTTGAAGGAAACTTGAGGAATTTCCTTTTGCCTCATAATAACTGGAACCTTCTGGTCAAACATTAACTTATCAACAGTTTTTGTGCTGAAACGTTCAGATTCATTTGGTGATTTGCCCGTGAGTTTTGAGGCAAGTTTCTCATCCTGGGCCCCCTTCCATTTTTCAGTAGTTGGCTGTGGAGGCCTAGATAATTCAGCAACTAATTGATAAATGACCTGGGATGCCAAGTCATCATTGACTTCTCCAGTTTCAATGAGCTGACTCATGTTCCTTATCAGTTCTTCAAACTGCACCGTGTCCATGCTGTAGGCGCCTTGGAGAACTGCTGCCTCCAATCGTTTATTCTTGAATTCACGAGAGCTGAAGTCTTCTGCTGAATTACTCCCAAAGTTTTCAAGATGTCGCAGAAATGGCTGATCATTTAGTTGCCTGTCACCCAGATAGAGCTCGTTCTTCTTACTCCACATTTGCCACATTTTGCTCATTTTATGCCATTTGGCCCCAAAGCTGTTGGCCTCATTGTGATCTGGGTTACTGGTCTCACTGGCATGTTTTCTAAGATTCGGTGGTTCTATCAATCTGTTGTCTGTACCAATGAGTTTCAGTACAAATGTTTCATGCACAGAGCCTGCAATACACCGGTACACACCAATATCAGTAGCTTCAAGACTATGTATTTTCAGTGAGCCTGACTTGGTGATGCCAAGTCTTTTAGAGTTTTGTAAGTCTTGTCCATCTTTCTCCCACCGGATAAGTGATTTCTGGAACCTTCGTACAGGGCACTTAATTACAACAGATGTTTTTGGAAGTAAGTAGGCTCGGCTTCCTATGGTAAAATTAATGCGCTTTTCTTGTCTTGTTTGAATATAGACTCGGTGAATACTGACAATCTGAGGTCCATGAGCAGAATACTTTTCTGGAAGCTTTGGTTTAATCTCTGAAAGAAAACAAAGTGTTGAAAAGTATCTAATCATTGGCACTCATGCTTACAAAATCTGCTTTTCACAGAATGCTTGACAGAGCTTTTCCTGACTTTGTTCAAGTCAGATTGCAACATGCAGAGCTTTTATCTGAGTGACAAAAATGCAAAAATATGAACATGAAACCATAACATTCCCCTGCTCCAGCCAAGAATTCTATTGCTTCTGCCCCAAATCTCCTAACAATAAAAAGAAATGGGCAACATATACCTATATGAAGGACATAGATGGTGCACACATACATAAATGTGTATATACATGTATTATATAATATATTAATTTAAACTATAGATATAATCCTGTTATGGTTATATTTCCTATATATTTCCTACTGCTGCCTCAGAAAGGCTAGGCATGATGGGAATGGAAAGAGTGAATCAAAAATTTTGAACACATTATCATTTTCCCCACATTTGAGCACTGTTGAGTGCAGAATGACCTACATAAAACCTGTCCAAAAAGTAAGGCTCCCCTTGACTGTTATTTAAATTGTTGGCTGGCCATGCTGGTTGTCTGACTGAGTCAAGCCAAACTGATAGCAACATAGGAGGAGAAAGAAACAGTCAATGAAGACACAGTACATGCAACAAGCAAAGCCACCCTGTAATCATTGGCGGAGGGTAATTTCTTTGGGTTGAAAGATGAGTTGCTCACATGTTGTGCCAAGAAAGTAGGGAAGGAAGGGAGGAAAGAGAGAAATAAGTCAAAATTTTCAGAGGTTGAATAAAGTAATCAGATGAATTGACAAAAGCAGACAATAACAGCATAGAGCTTCATGCAGCGTGGGTATGGAGACACTGGGTATTATGAAGCTCCTCCTGCGTTGTACTGCAGGCACTTGGATGCTGAAAGGTTTCTAGGGAGCTGCCTGAATGAATACCACCACAGGCAGGCTTTCCCAGCAGTGGCTGGATAGGCACACCGGAGACAACATGAGAATGACTGCAATGCTTCGGATACCACTGTGTTGACTCACTGCTGGCAACTACTGTGCCCCACTTTGATCAGTAGAACTAATCTTACTAAGAAAACACTAGGTAGGTGAGAAACAAAGCGCTGTAGGAGGCTTGGAGCAAGGGCATGCACCCCCTGAGTTCGTTCCATGCAAGATGGAATTGGCCAGCTGGGAAGAGTCGGGAAACACTCTGCGTTGGCGCTAGGAAACAACCCAATTGTGTTTGGTGACCCAGCCTTTTGGTACATGACAGAGAAAAAAACCTCAGAGCCTGCAGAATGTGTGGATGAGCCAGGAAATGGACACACAAATCAAAATGCTTCTCAGCGTGCCTTAATCTCAAATCATTATTACTATTCCACTAGGTAGGTACATAAATAAAATGACAACCACACTGATGGCACACAAATGATATTTGAAAAACTGCATGCTTCTTATATACATATGCTTCAAATATGCTGTGAAGAAATAGGTGAAAAGCTAAATGCTTCAAGCATTCAATAAGTGTGTACACTATATGAACTACACCCTAGAGTGCATTCTTATGCTTATAAAACAAAATGGTTATTTTCAGTGTTTTGGGTAATGAGTTCAGACCTGTGGGGATATCATGGTTTCATAATTACACAGCTTTTAAATCGGTATTCATTATCCAGATACATGGTTCCCTCAACCATTTCACGTGGTACAACAAATAAATTGCTTTAGGCACACAGTTTACTAAAATCATTAAAGTAGCGTCCTGCTTTTAATAAGTCATTGGGCCCCAAATATTTATTTTTAGGGAAGTGTTCCAGTATAAAATCTTCCATTTCCAAAATCCAACTTACAGACACAGTAAGTGTAACTTTAAACACACAAATTAAAATACTTCAGGCTGTGGTCTGTTTACACTAGTTATTCCAACATGGAATTAAACCCAGTGCATACTTATAAATATGTTAACAAGTCTCATCCATTTCATTTTTTTTAAAAAAAGAAAGACCACTAACTCTCATTAGCAGTTCAACACTAAAGGGTGTGTATATTTTTACTGGTGACTGGTGAGCAAGGCTCGGAGTGAAACAAAGTTCAGAGTTGTGGATGGCAGGCCATATAAGTATATATGGTCATAAGAATATATGAGGCCACAGAAGTATGTGTTTTCTAGATCCTTAGTATCATCCAATCTTGCAGCTGCTGAGGTAACAGACTCTGGAAGAGGTTTTTTTCTACAAGGTAACTCTTGCTTAAGGATTAGATTGTACTGGAGCCACTGGACCTCATTATCACCCGGTACAAATCCATCTGCATCTATGAACTCTAATGGTCCTCTGCAGCTTTAGCTGGACCTCAGGTCCTGCTGACCTCAGGGCTAGACCAGTGTTATTTCCTATTTCTCAGAGCGGGCTTACTAAGTAGAAAACAGCTCCAATTACTAGTCCCAGGGTAAAAGGTTAAGTCTAAAAAGCCTCAGCACTGTCATGAGATGGTAAAAAAGAAGGAGCTCATCTGAGCCACAGAAGCATAATCTTGAGGAGGCACATTCAGAAACACTGCTCTCAAAGGCAAGAACCCCAAACAGCACACCTGCCACGCACCACGCTGCTCTTCACTGAGTCTGCTTCATTCTCTGTAGCTAGCCGTCTGCCGGTCCTAGGGCCACGCTATGTTCCTGTCTTCTGTTCGCTCCCCCTTCAAGGCAGGCTGAACCCATTGCTGCGGGAGGAGGAGATGCCTCCTGCACGTCCCTGTGAATCCAAAGCCTGCTGCTGCCACTGCCGCTGCCCCGGCTCCTTCTGCAAAACTCTAACTGGAACCCTGGGCACAGACGTGTCTCGTGCCTTCCCCTGCCCTCCTGTTGCATAGCCGGGGATTTTTCAGGCAGATCTGAGCTGCAAGGGCTCCCTTGTTCCAAAAGGTTGTGGAGACGAAGGGAGAGGACAGTGATTCTCTTTTATGACTTTGATCTGCACCCATTCAGTACAATCGCATTCCCTCTACAGTCCACTGCCCTGCCTTCTTGGCACTGTGGTGGAAGCTGACAATGTAACTTTAATATCAGCCTGTGCTAAGCAATTTGCAAACCAGCTACACTGCCATTCAACTATCCACAATTAATTAAATTCAGATAGATATGCAGCTCAAAATATTTTATTAAACCTTATGCCAAGGACATTCCTGAAGGTCCACAGGGCTTTATTTAAGTGGAGTTTTGAACCTCAGGATTTTGGCATGTTAATCTGAAATGCAGGCCAGGAAAAGAAGTTTCATATTATGTATGAATCAGTAATTATTCTATTTCTTATTTTGTTTTGTGACTAATTTTTAAAGCAAAGCTTCAAAATGTATAAAGTAGCTATTTCTTGACAGCACTATGAATTGGGTCAAAACACGTCTATCTCTCTGATCTGTGATCAAAACCAGGCCATTCATGCAGGCTTTTGGTTTTCCCCTACCTCAAAACTAAAAACTCTCCTTTTTTTGTTTCCTTTCAGCATCTTGCTCCCCAAACCTGCAAACTAATACTCTCTTCTATAAAGGAAGGAGAGTACAGGTTCAGACATAAGGAACCTGCATTTAGAACTGCCTATTTTAGGTTACTGCATGTAACTGAACATACTCTGTATCAGTATTTCCATCAGTGTTACACATATGCAATTAGTGCAACTAACATCAGTATCATAACCTGATTGTGCCCAAATTGTACAATTCCTACAGGCAATCCTTCTGAAAAAAATTCTTATATAGACAGTAATGAAACACTGGATTTTTTTGAAGAGTGTCTGTACTGTCATCACTTCCTGCAAAGCTCATGAGACTGGGATTCTCATTTCTACAAGGAAAGATAGAAATTATACCTAAAGCTACCACTAGCATGGAGTTTCAGGTTTTGAATTCCACTACGCTAAGTAAAATGTCCAGTGTAATATAAATGTACAGTGAAATGACAAGTCAGAACTGGATTCTTATCTTTTCTAATGTCCTTTGTAATTTACAGTCAATTTATGGACTTTTTTTTTTTGCAGTTGGGATAGTGCGAAGGGTAAAGGAAAAATCAGATCAAACGTAGGTAAGTATGAGGGTGAGAGGTATGTACCATTAACATGTATTCAAAAACTACTTCTTGAGATCATAACCTTTATTTCTGACTGGCAGAAAAGAAATTAAAAATGATCCTGTTATTACTGGTCTAGCAATTATGACACTCTCATTATGGCAGATTAGTAATGTTGTGAAAGTATAGGGAGCTGAGTGAATTAGCCTGTATACAGATTTTTCTTTATAAATAGATCATTCCAAATCAGCAAGAGACTACATTCAGTACCATACTTACTGTTGCAGGCATTCATCTGACAAGTCCTTACAAGCAGTGAAGGAGACAGACCACTACACATTGATCCATTTAATGTGACATATTGGCCCTTTGCTGTTAGGTTTTGGCAGGCAAGTTTCCTTCTCTGGATTCCAACACCACAGCTTACTGAGCACTGTGAAAGGAAGGATGCAGTCAAACTAAACTTGGTGTCCCACACCACACATGCTAATTTTAAACTAGGTTTGGGTTTTGGTTTTTTTTCTCTTCTGAGAAAGCGAGCATACACTCTAGTTCATACGAATATTTGTGTTATCCAGATATTAAACTCTCTCCACTTTTCCAGGCAATAAGAATATAAGACAGATAATTTGTTCCAGCAAGCAACTCAGGAACAATTAAAATAACATGACAGTATTTCTTTATGTCTAACCATGGGCAGAACAGAGCAATGAGATCTAGTAGCTAAGAGAAACAATTCAGCATGTTCCAAACAGTCTGTGTCAAATCTCCCAACCTTCTCTCCTAGCTTGTACTGCATGAACCTTTAATTGCAGCTTCTAAATTCAGTTTTATAAATCTTTTTTGAATGGGGAGTGGTAGGCAAGCCTGCATTGCATGGGACAGAAGGGGGACATATTCCAGAATAATGCAAATACATGCTTTTTGGAAGCTGTACTATGAAACAACTGACAGTTAAACAGGTCTGGTAGAACGCGTGCAATGCATTACAGCCTCTCGTTCAGCAACTCAAACACAGCTCAGGAAGGGGGCTGTGATCAGTCTGGTTGTAGGCAGGGGTGCACAGCAACTGCATGCACAGTTTAGTCCAGGTACATGCCTTGCAAAACCTTCAGCTACCCTGTGAATTTGTTGCTCCAAACATCTTATCCGCCCAAGCAGAAATCTTCAGAGCTCATGTTGTAACAGAGGGGTTTGGTTCACCCTTGTCGGGGGCTGCTTACCTTGGACCATTCTCCTACAACTAGCTGAGGAGGACAATCAACTTTTGCACATGGTTTACTAGTTGGCAATTTAGGTTCCGGGCAGGTGTCATCAGAGTGTTTCAGGAAACTTCCATCCGTCAACAGCTGCCTACAGTACACTTTGCGGGTCTGAATCCCTCCTCCACAAGTACGTGAACACTAAGGAGAAGAAGAGAACATAGCATGTACACCTGCATGAACATCTGGGCTCACCCATCACACTTTACACAAACACTGTAAGCTCCCCCCAGCCCCTGTTATGCTCTATTGAAAAATGACATCTACTTTAATTAAAAAGCAAGCCGCATGTAGAAAATTCTTCAGTCAAAATGTTCAGGTAATATATTAGAGACGATGAGAACCTAACTACTAAGTTAAAAAGTCACACCACCTGAATGCAATTAAGTAGTAGAAATCTTAAAGAAAAACATGCATCTTACATGCAGATCTGCCTACGTCTCGCATCACTTAATAGATCTGGTGGGAGTTTAGGAAACTTTGTCCTGGAGACAAAAAAAACGAGACAATGTCTCCAAAAGCAGGTTGTTGCATTTGTAGAGCATAGAAAGAGAGGTGATGTCTGGAGTAGCTGGTATCCAGCCTTCTGGAATCTTAAAAAGGACATTCCACCTCATCCTGTGACTACCCATTGGCATTGTTGTCAAAAGCAGTATTTTTGACCCTGGATTGGTTTGTTCTAATGAAATCAGTTGAAACACATACCAAAGTTTAGGAGCGACCTTCCACCTTATTCCACCTAGAGAATTTCAAGTATGTCGCCAGAGGAACACATTTAAACTATTTTTGTAACCCAGTCATACCTGTTGCCATTCCTCAACATGCCAACCAGGGGGACAATCAATCTGGTTACAAGCTTGTAAAGAATGAGGCTTTTTGTCTTTGCAGTCTTCAGCAGCAACAGCAGATCCCCCCGGCTGCTGGCAGTACACATCTCTCGTCTGTATCCCAACCCCGCACGTAGCTGAGCAGCGTCTCCAGGAGCCGCTTTGCCACCTGTTCCAACAACAGAGCCAAAAGCCCACGTTTTAGCAACTCACCTCAGATGGAGGAAGGAGCAATCATGTCCAAACAGACCCTAGCGAAAAATAACTGAAGGCATAGTTATTGATAGATGGCTAGAACATCCCTTTGGTTTGGCTGTAATGCAAAATTATAAACTAGATTTATAAACTTGCAGGTAACAAGGAAATGCAGAAGTTATTAACAATAAAGTAATAAAGATTCCTTTCCAGACAAATTACTTTCAGAATGCTCCTCATAAAAAACCAGCAGGTTGGCAGCCTGCTGACGTTTACCTTTATAAACGTAAATATGTAAATAGACCTTTCTTACATTTACAAAATTTCATTTAAATGTGTATATGTTTTCTATAAAACATCCTGTTCCTGTTAACTTCTTCCCTACGTTTTGCAAGAGGAGGTTTCTGCAAACACATAGAAACAATATGCAAAAGATCAGGGATGTCAGAGTTCAAAAGTGTGTAAATAAGGAAACACATGTCAAAATTTCACATATGGCCCTTTCAAGTGACCAAATTAGCTAGGTTTTCTTGGATTTGGACCGGGTTTGTTCTTTTCCCAGGATCTCCAGATAAACATAAGAAGCCATAAGAATTATGTGGGGCTACTAAAGAAGCATGTAATTAAAATAACTTTAAATCATAATTTCACTTTTTTTATTCGGTAAGGATAGAAAGTAAATATTCTCTGTTTTTTTGTGAAATTGCCTTAAAATTTTCCTTCTACCACTAGAAGACTTATGGCTGTTTTTCCAACTCTGGCAAATATCTGCACAGAAGAGATTTATTTCAGAAAATGTTCCCTATTTTATTGGTGAGATGTGAAGGGTGGAAAAGGAGTGAACAAGACCAAAAAAAAAACCCAACCCCAAAACCTTGTTAAAGACAGAAGTAGTGAAATTTCATCCCAAAGCAAGACCACAGTCCTAAAATCTGAACCCTTTCTGAGAAAGCCAATGTTTATTTAAGTCATATTAACCATTTCTTTGCCACAGTATGATTTCATTATCACAATGTACCTTGGAGGGCAAAGCTTCATATTGCAAGTACGAGTCATTGGTGGTGGTCTCTTGGAATTGTCACACAGGGTTTCATTGACGGCTTGTTTCGTCTCTACATGCAGACACATTGCAATCGCTTCTTGTGTTCCTGAATTAAAAAGGAAAACACCCATGAAACACTGAAGATGGAAGAGATTTCTATAAAGCTTACTCTTGAATAATACTCAGTAAAAAAGTTCTAAACACTGAATTAGATAGCAGGCTTAGAAGTAACATCTCAAGTCAAAAGGAACACAGAGGTAGTTTATATATTTAATGCTCGAAAGGTATTTGTGAACTAAACCTAGCACTTTACTTCTCTAATATTTAAAAGGCTTGATTTGACACTCTACCTCTCTGAAAACCAACAGAAAATAGACTTCTCTGGCTGTCCACCATCAGATGCTTCATCTGCCTGGTTCTGTGATGGTCCCAAGCCAACTACTGCTTTCATTGCCAAAATCAGGGTAAAAGTGATAACTTCTCACTTACTTTGACTTTAAGGAGCTAAAGATCTGCAAAAAATGTAATAAAACTGCAGAAAACTTGCAAAACTATAGTCAGGACAATGGCTGACTAAACATAGAACCTTTCTCATAGGGGCTAAGAGATGCAACAGTTTTGCTGAAGGCAGCAAATCTGGTGCAGCCTAGAGCTTTCCTCAACTCATGACCATTCTTGGCACCTTCTGATCTGCAGCTCTTGCTACCTGGATCTTATTACTGAAGCATGAAAGATTACTAATACTCAAATTTCTATGAGTCAAAATGAAACGTAATATGTTTGCTTTAGAACAAGTCAGCTTAGCGAATGCACATTTTGTGAACTACTTTTATTTTAAACCTACGTAATTATCCAATTCTATATATCGTATTTTTTAGTATGAAAGCCTTGCTCAATTTCAAAGCTTACTTGTATGCACATGAAAGACAAGATGATTTCTGATGTACTTGGGGGATCCTGTGTGTCTGGGATGTTCTATATAAGCAATGCTAATGATCATAAACCTGTAGAACAAAAAGTCACTGAAATAATAAAATACCTATTTTGTTGCTTCCAGGTAAAAATGGCTTTTGAAGAGTCACAGTTTAAAGATTTTTAAACCATTTCCTTCCTACCTTTCACCTATCTCCAGTGCTTTTGTAAGGATACAAACTTGCTTTCAGCAGCAGGTTATATTTCTTTTCCTACAACCAACTTCTACGGTTTCAAAGGGAATTAAATTTTTAACTAGAAATCTTCACTAAGCACTTCATGGTATCACCTATGACATTACCTCCAAACATAACCACTATTGTTACACAAAGGCTACTATAACTATTCCTGCTTCTGTGACAACTGTGCATGAGGACTGGTTTCTTGGCACTGTTGATCATCAGCCATTCTGATTTCAGTGGGCTCGATGAAATATCCTACACCAAAAGTTTTGTCTCCATGCCAATGGGCCATATTTCTGTCTTTTACAACACATTAATGAGCACTGTCATTCTTCTCCAAAAACAACGCTGTTTGTTCTATCCATAAACAATTCTGATGCAGTCCCGCGTATCAGCCACCCCAGGCCACAATCCCTCTTTGTGACACTTGAACCAGTCCAACTATTTCAGACACTTCAGCAGTAGACCGGCAGTGATTTTCACAATAATGTAGATTCCAATTTCTCTCAGGCTCTCTGGTATACCCCTAAATCCCCGCTGGGACTCGTTTTCAGTTCAGAAAGACCTTGTTATATAAATTTTTTTAATACATCAACAGAGTGATGAATTTGTATAGAACAGAAGACCTGACCTTAGATATGATTGACAACCTATTCAGTCTCTTATATCAAAGTATTGATAATTACATTAACATAGAACACATGCATTGAGTAAAATCTATTTTACTAGCAGGACTGAGAAGAAATCTTTAACAGCTAGTACCATTACTATAAGGCAGACATTGAAATGCCCCAAGAAAGACAAACCATTAAATAAATGTGGTTTCTAGAACTCTACTATTTTATTCCAGACTGACAACCATGTGTTTGTTTAAGAGGAGCAGCTTCCCTGTCCCTTTACATAGGAAATGCACATCTGACTGTCTACAGGAGAGAAATAAAGATTTAAAAAATGTGTTCTGGCAGAAACAGAATGACATTACCAGACAAGCATATCAAGCATCCATTTAATCTCTATTTCAGGTCAAAACCTACCCTATGCTACCAACCTTCAGTTTCACTGACCTCACTGTGTTCCTATGGGAAAGCCACACTCAGAGGTGATGCTGCTCTGGAACAGGTTGCAAGAAGTAATATCTTCTTAATTTCTCACACGAAGGAGGGGAATGAAATGAGATTCCTTTCAGACCATCTAAATCGGCAATAATCCCATGGGAACTTTTTATCTCCGTGTTACAAAAACTAAATTGGCCAGCCAAATGAACAAAAAGCATGTCATACCAGGTGATGGGTTTTGCCTGCAAGTTGCCACCTGGAGTTCATTAAGCCAATTCTGCCTTGCAGCATGACCTACCTAGCTTTAATTGTGTTACCAGAAGAAAATCCCGATATGCAGTGTATCTTTCATTTGACTTAACTACAGTGCGCAAACTGCAGTAGTGATTCCTCCCCACAGGAGCCTTATTGAAAGAAAAATGGCACCCTGTTTTGATGCCATAAATACAAAACAGATATTAAAGAGCTGTTAAAAACATACCGCACACTCCCTTCCTGTTCCTTGGGTCTCAGCTGGAGGACTCTATTCAGTAAATAACTACACTTAATTGATGCAGCGTTTGTTTGAACTTAACTGTCAATATGACTTGACAATTAATCAGATTTCTCACCCCAAACTGTAATTTTCCATTAGTTGGGAACTTCAGTCACTGATACATTTCTTGTTCAATGTCGATTGGAAGATGGAAAAATCTATTATTCAAACAAACGAAGTTTTATATGTATGACTTTCTTGGCTTATAATATAAACATAGTAGATAATTTAACTAAAACATTATGTATGCAGCAGGGAGCATTAAGTATTTTTACAGTAATCTGATGCACTATTGTAGTAATTATCCTACTATTCAGTGAAATAGAATATTTTCTATTTTAACCCAGCATCCAAACCACATACATTTACATTCTTTTACAAGCTTTTCTGTGCAGTGAAATACACAGTGCATGAAGCTGTGTTAAAAGATCAGAATGCTTGAAGAAAGCCCAGATTTTTTGTTTCTGCCTTTTTTAGAGTACAAAGAAAATGGGGGTGGAAAGTTGCTGTGCAAATGGTAAGAGGGTGGATCTATTCTCTATAACTGGAAGAGGAAGGACAGTCATTTATTTCTATCAGATAGTGTCAGTTTGGTGACTGCTTAAAAATATGTACTATCAGCTGAAAATAACTCAGGAGAAATGCCAAGTCCTACATATGCTTGAGCCTCTCTGCAAATCTATCGAAACTGGCAATGTTATTTATAGTCCTTCTGTAAAGGAGTAAACAGTGTCTGCAGTTAATGAAACTAGTGATAGGAGTAACCAGTTATCAAATTGCCTACAACACTCTTGCAAGTGCTCTCAACTTTATATGTGACTCTCAGAATGGTCATTGTTTTTCCTAAGAGCCCTTAAATTTGGCTAGAATCCATTGATTTTCTAAGCATCTCAGGTTTCTTACAAATAAAATAGTAAACTTTTAGCCATTATGATCCAGACAAAAGCCTGAAAACACAACCTGATTGCACCCTAAAGCTTCCAAAGCCACAGACTGTAGAGGAAACAACAGGAAGTGCATATGTATTTATTGTTTAATCTCATTATTTTTAAGCTGATGTAATGACTTTAGGGGGCTTGAATCATAATTTTTGAAGCATATGGAATATAAATAATAATAATTACATTGAACTACCAAAACTGTCTCTTGCAATTAAAGGCATTTTCAAACAGGGACCCAGGAAATGTTCAGTTATTTTTTTTAAATGGAAAACATAATTTTAAAATATTGTAGAGTAGTTAAATGATTGACAACACTAAAGAAATACTACAAATTACAAGAAAAACATTTCTTCTCCTCAGGCCTACTCTTTATTCTGATTATGACTTTTACTTCTCACTGACAATACTATGAAAATTAAACTTCTGCTTATATTGGGGGCTTTTGCATCAGGGCCAAAGTTCTTCAGATTTGAGAAAAAAAAAAAAAAAAAAGAAAAAAACATTCTGGGAAACTGAGGGCAAATCCTGAGATCCCCAAGCACACGGCTGGCTTATTTTCAGTTTGGGATTTCTTCAGGCACTGAAGACAAAATAGATCTTAGCTTTCAGGATGGCTACAGAGTTTCCTATGGATGTTTAAGGTGACATCTGCCTCATGACAAACTGGCCTGGACAACTTTTATTTGCACTCACGGAAAGATTGATGAAAGAAGTATTAATTATGCTAGCAGGCATAACACAACGTAGCAGTCCACAAAAGCAGCAAGTTGTACAGCACTCAATACGCTGTGTGACAAGCCACGCAGATCTGGTGCAGAAAGCACACAACACGACCAAAGACTCATGTTACTAATGCTCTAGAACCTGCTGAATATGACAAACTGGAAAGTAAAGATGATGTTTGATAATGCCTTGCAGATCACTCTATCTCTGTAATTCTAATGCTTCAAAAAGCAATGTTTCCATCTGTATTTTTACGTCTGCTTTGGAGAGGGACCAGAGGAGAGTTTGAATTAAAAGTCTAGTCTGTATGAGGATTTTAAAAAAAAAAAAAAAAGGTGCAAGTGACAAGCACTGAAACAGAGATTCCGTCCTTGCTCAAACAGTGGCTATAAAGCTTGCAGCCTACATAGACCCTGCAGACTTTTCCCTCATTCAGAGTCAAGCACTAAGAAATGGGGGTGGGGAGTTCCAAGGATACTGAAAATCCACAGGAATTTATTTTAATAGCCACTGCTAGATACATACATACTAGAGAAAAAGTACCTAATATAATTTACATTACACTGGGATATTCCAAACTCAGAGAATATTTATTTCTTGTAACTGAAGAGTTCATCTAATTGAAATGAGATTTGAACATAAAACTTAGCAGAAATGGATCAACTCCTTTGAACTACACAATGGAAAAATAGTAGACAGTGAGATCATTAGTTAGTACATTGCAGTAAGTTGGAAACAGAAGAGATGTCTGGTTCCCTTAAAACTATTTATCGGCAGGTAATTTTTGGTCTGTTTGAAAGCCTTTGCCAAGGCAGCAAGACGACCAGAACTGATAGAAGGAAAAAATCACTGCTACCTAACTAGCATAACAGCACGGGGACTTCTGAGCTGTTCATTGATAAAATATCCTGACAACTTCCCACATTTCCCAAGAGCATCACATAAGAAAAATGTCTAGACATAGTACCAGTGATACCACAGAAGCCTCAAGAACACAAACTGTTTTCTTTTAAACTTCTTCAGATGGATCATTTCTACTGTGTGTCAGACAAATGGTTAGATTACTATGAACATTATGAACTACTATGAACTAGAACAATTCCGGGTTAGGCAACCTCACAAATTCATGAAAGGGCCAGAAGTCAACAACAGAATTCACATTCAGCTCCCTCAGGAACAAAATTAAGCTGAGCACGGGATTCTGCTCATCAGTCATTTTGAAGTTCCTTCGTGCCGGCAAATGGAAATACTGTCTTCACTACAGGCTCCTTAAATTACCGTCAGCTTGCACTTCGAGTGCAAGTTTTTATGTGAATGTTTTGGCATGGACAAACTCACATGTGAAGATGCAGGCAATGCAAACGTGCACATGTGCAAGAGCAGGCAAAGACTAGAGATTATTTCAGCCTAGATGTCTGCTGATGTCCTCAAAATTAAACAACTTCGGAGTTTTAGAACACCTCTGACAAAGATGTTGACTAAAAAGCAGTAGTAAAGTGTATTTAAGATGGCAATGAAATGATTGTACATTACAAAAATCAGCTAAGATATGAAAAAGAGAACTACAAATTTAGTAGCAATGAAAGCCTTGTTTCTGCTTTAGAGTATGATTTCCTTACTTTTGAAAACAATTCCCTCATTAAAATGAAGAAACAGAGACACTCAGTCACAATAGCTGTCACTACCATCACACTTTTATCCATATGTACTTGGACTATAGCCTCTTCTATACCTTGCCAGTCATAATGCCCGCTGAAGGTAGTGGAGGGAATGGGATGCATCAGCTTTTGTGATGACATGTGCTGCTATTGCTATGGGTCAACCCCATCAGTAAACAGCAGTAGTAAATGATAAAAGGAGGCACTTATCAGTCACTTACCATCCTGCTGATAGCATTCTGAGGCATCCCTCCCAGCTTCTGTCTTCGAGGTTTGAACTGGTGAACAGTACAAAGGAGGCTGCTTTCCGTGAGCTCTAGACTGGCTCTCTGCTTCCAATTGTTTCTGCTCTCCCCTTTTCTACATTTTTTATTTCTTCTATGGGTACAACTGTCTTCACTTCCCACTGATGTCATCAGTCCTGTCATATATAGGTGTGTTCACAATTCCACTGCCTCCACTTAACACTTCATAACTCACTTGTGTTCAGTCCCAAAGTACAGTATGTAGTAGCAACACCAGCAACCTTGTCTAGTAACATGTACTTAAGACGACAGGGAGATTCGATTACATCCAAAAAGGAATGTGCCTAACTACTTGCAGACAGATGTATGGCACAGAGTTCCTATAGAGTGATATACTGTACCAAGACCTAAACAAACTCCCGTTTGATCTTCATGCCGGTCAGACTGAAAGCAAGTCTCCCTAATTACAACTTTGTATCCCTACTGTACTGCAGAAAATGGCAGCATTTTGGAAGATAAGGAATAATTAACATGGGCATTTTAAGTCTGAAACTATACACTTTCAGTTCTTAGGAAAAGATAGGTCATCTAAACATGCCCATCACCAATGCATTAAACATGTTGGTGCCACCTGGCAGCCGAGACTCCTGCAGCAACAAGACTAAAGCAAGTTGCTGTATCAACAACTTCTTGCACCTTAACCAAATAAAGTCGGTGTTTGAACACAGGATATAAAGGAAACAAAGTAGTTTGAAATACTCTATGGATAACCTAGAAATAAGTTAAAACTTGAAGCTGCATGTTTCCCTACAGATCAACATAGTTAATTTAGGGTAACACTAACAGAAGACCCAACAATGTCAAACAATGCCAAATTCTTACAACTCAAGATTAATGAATGAATAAATAAATAAAGGTACCTCCAAGACAAGTGGCTGAACAAGGAGTAAAACCAATGTATTCCCAGTCATAAATCACACTGCCATCTTCAGCATGTGAAAATTCTGGTGTATAGGGGACAGGATCACTGTCACAGGATGCCTGGTGACAGACTCGTTCTGTTGGTGGCTTCACATCTTCACATTCCTCCTCAGGCAGTTCAACCTCAGTCTGAGTAAACACGAGAAGAATTCGGCATTTCACATCTCGCACCTGTATGCCATTGCCACACGTGGCACTGCACGGAGACCAGGGTTCAGGAATAAACCTGCAAATAATCACAGCGCAGTAAAAACACTGTCATTTTATTCCATATAATTGTGTCTGTGTGCACAGTTAAAACATAGCTAAAACACATAAATGTATGTTTATACACAAAGCAGACGATACACAATATTATTTGATGCTTAAATAGAGTGCATAATCAAGCGTCTTAAGTCTTCCACTTGCCCCCTATCTCAGACCATTTCTCAAAATTCACAAAAAAAAAAAAAAAAATGGAGGAAAAAATGAGAAAGAATCATGAGGAATAGGGAAAGTTGTATCCTTTTTGGGGGAAAAAGGACATCACCTAAATCTTTTCTCAAAATCCTTCGGTGGAAAAAAAGGAGACTCTGCATGAAGACATATCTATAGAATATAAAATAGCTCCCCAGGTACGCAAACTTAGGCATATGCCAAAAGTATATTTGCAGTTTGTTTAAATCTGAGAAAGGCCATCGCCTTATGTCACACTAATAATCAGCAACCAGGCAGAAGAAAAGCACTTTTCATATCTAGCTAATCTCCAAAGCACACCACCGCAGGCTGTTGTTCAGATTTAATCTTGAAAGAAGGCTCTCATCTTCAGTAAAGAGGTCTAACCAGCTCATTCTATAATCTATCATTTTTTGTTAGAAAGCATTTATGCTCCTGATGAACTATAGTAAAATCTTATTTTACAGATCATGAATTTACTGAATGAAAGGAGGTTTCAGTCTATAATATTCTGTGACTTCGAGGGTCCCATTAATATCTGATAGCAATGGCACTAGACTCAAGGGGCTGAATTTCATTAATGAAGTCATCCTGAGTGGCTCTACAGTACAATTTTTGAGAAGTCAAATATAGAATTTCATAGGGCATTCTTTCAAAGGGTTGCAGTTGCTCTTTTTTAAATGTCCAAATGCAGCTGATGATCAAAACACAAATGGGAGATACATTTGACCAATACTAAAAACAAATTTGGAAGGAAAAATCCAAATTAGGATTCAAAGATTTTCTCCTTATCTTTGATTAAGAATTATCTTTCTCTTTACTGCAGGAAAGCTGCCCTTACAATTATAAGAACAGTTGTGCAAGACAAAAATCAGTATTTATGCTCTGCATACACAGTAAGCATAGAAAAATGTCAACACAGCGTGGTTGATTCTGTGGACAGTTTATCATCTTGAGCCAATAACTTCTTGCCAGTATATACAGAGGAAGAATCAAATAGAAGAAAGGAGAACAGATGAGTGGGTAACTCATAAGGGTACTCTAACCCAGCCCTTGGGGTAGTCACCCAAGCTGTGCTTGGGATAGACCTCAAGACAGACTGTCTGCTGTGGAAAAGACTACTCCCATTGCCAATAAAGGCTACAAGGTAACTGGTTATTCTTTAAGGACATATTGGTGAAATACCTTTACAACTCTACTATGAAGATAAATAAAGATGTCAAAGCCCGCCACTTCAAATCCTTGAACAGAGCCTCAAAACTTTAGTTAGAGCTCACTGGTCCTTGACAGACTTCAGTAAATGGTGCGGTATCCCCAGCTCATCCTGAAACCAGGGAAAACTGCAAGTCCTCATCACATCACAAGTCTGACTACCTTTGAAGTAGACAACCAGACTGATTTTTATTGGAAGAGTATTATCAAAATGGTAGATAGCTGTGTCCTACAGTGATAACATCTGTGTAAATGCCCTACTGGTGCAACCTAACAACCCACCGAGTCCAATGGCACAGCTGGTAGAGGTCAATGTCCAGATGCTTTTGATAACAAATTCTAACTGAACATCTGTGGGAAAATCTGCAAGGGAAGGCTTTCTCTTATGACAGCAGATAAAAATCAGCTTAACCCTGAAACATCAGATCTTACAGTCTTTTCAAAGACAGCCATGCAAACTACTGAGGGTGGCCATGGATAAAAATCACCCTCATCCAACAAAATGCTTAAGCATGTGCCTACTTTAAGCACATTAGTAGTCCTTTGAAGTCAATATGACTATAATGTGTTCAGAGTTAAACTTGTGCTTAAGTGCTTTATTGGACCAAGGCCATTGTGCATAGGCTTAACTAAATTATGACTTTCCTCTCCTTTCTGTGTAAAAAACCCCATATAAGTCCATTTGTAGTTATGTACCTAATTTAAAAATGAAAGTGATGGACATTTATAGTTTAAAAGAGTTGGTTGGTGTTCTGACCACACCTAACAGTTTGCAGTCTGAAAGCAAATAACTTTTTTGGTAAAAGTATGAAAGCAACATACCAGAAATTAGTGTTAGTTTTGTACACTGTTAGTTGAATACAATCAAAAAATAACGTACGATGCATTCTTTTGAAATCCTGTATAAATGAAAGGAAATTCTGAACCACAGCAGTCCTTTCACTCAGCAACCAATTGATTTATAAAGAAACTCAGAAAATTCTAAGCATTTTTTCTTTGACTTATAGCAAGCCTATATTATAATTGAGGTTTTCCTGTTGAATATTAGTGTCTGGTATTTTTTAGTGAAGTGCAAAATTAAAAAAAAAGCCACCCGAAATACTTTTTATTCTACCTTGGCATTTGCTAAACTAGTCACATGACTATTTAGGTATTAAAATCCTAAATTATAGAACTTTTCTAAGGATGACCATATTGAAGTCCACTGTAAGTACCTTCAGCAGAAGCCAATGGAGACTGCTAATACAAAATTAGAGCAAGGAACTGACTGGACAGTGAGGAAGCTCTAGAGTTTGGCACTGTATCTGAATTTTGAGTTCAGGCAAATGATTTTTTAATTTTTATTTAACATAAGCACAACCAAAGCCTGTGACAGATCATTAAAGCAAACTCCATCAACCTCAGAAGTGATATATTTTTTACACAGTGGCATTCACAGCACACATGTGGCAATGCTTTGGACACATCACTTCCCTGAAGCAAATTCACTCTGCCTTTGATGGGCATACACTCAAAGTGAACTCAAGTCAGGATTAAGAAGCACCTAAGCACTTGTATTATGATGCCTTGCAGATCATCAGGAATTTATAATGGAACAGATAAGATGGTGGTAACTCTGAAAATTTTCTGAGATCTTTAACTAAGTTTGTAGATGAGACTCCTCTTCTGATTAAAAAAAGAAAAGAATGGAAAAATGCAAAGCCGAGCAGGCACAATTTTCACAATCAGCCTTTTTGTACAGTCATTCTTCCCAGTGCAATGTGGAAATCAAATGCTCCTATAATCATCTGCACAGGTATAAATGATGTACATACTACAGATGCAGTGGTGACTATGTCCATGCTGCAGTGCTATTAATCTAACACCAACGGACATGTCCATTCACCCGGCACACTCCGAAAAAGCCAGTGCAGGATGACCTGGAAAATGACATGGTGTCTCTTAATATTTTTTTTCAGCTTCCTCATGCCTGCAGTTCTTGCTTTCAGTTAAGACAGGAAATGCCTAAATCCTGAAAAAAAGGCTGCTCTTGTGATATTTCCCGTCCAACCCTACTGCGCCAAGGGGCCTGGATAAAAGTTTGCAGAAGCATCTAAAATGTTGGCTGGTTACTGGGGCAGAACTTCCACGGTGCTGGCTGGCACCCTCCCCCTCCCCTGAAGCACCACCCTTGCCTGCTCTAAGCAGAGCTGCACCGCCAGGTTTTATCAACTTGGAGTGTAAGGTGTTGGAAAAAATCACCAGCCCTTTTCAGAGAAGCAGCTGTGAAAAACGTGTAATTCTCTATCACCAAAGGCACGATGGGGACATTTCTGTGAAAATGACTCAAACGCAACGAGCAGCAACCTTTATGAGAGACACCGCATTTCACATTCAGCGACTGCAACTCCACAAACCTAGTGATTACTTTTTAGGTCAGGTTGCCGAAAAAATAGATCAGCTTTTGAAAGCATTTAATTTTGTTCTAAGCCATGACAGGGAAAGGCAGCTGACGTGTCTATTTCTTTAACTTACGATTAATAAAAAGGATGCAAAAACCTTGCTGGAGCTTCTCTGTGAATCCCACTGTAACTAAGAAGGCTCAAGGGAAGAACGTTTAAAATAATGATTGGTATCAACTGTCATCACATTCCACAACTAAAAACTAAAAAGGTCAGACTTACATTTTTGTTGGCCTCACTTTAAGGGCAGTCATTTTTTATTTTGCTAATAATAAAAAAAAGCAGCTTTTGAACATTCCCCCTCTATGTAAATTCAGGACACCAGCCATGGTAGACCACAGCAGCAGAAGTATTTATCTTCCACAAGCTACTTTTGGCATATCCACCATTTGTGGGTTCTAAAACACAGCTGCATTTATTCTCTTATTCATTATCAACTAAAATATCACACGAAAGCATAAAAAGACAGTTGTAATAAAAGGATGGACTGGAAGTTGAGACTTAATATTGCAGTTTAAGTTTGGATGACAAGAGACTAACTAAAATTAAAAGTGATGGCATTTTACCAAGGAAATCATAAGCCTCATGCTAGACAGAGATGGGCTATGAGCTATCACTGTGCCACGTGTAAATTAAAGAAAACAAAGTAAACCAGATCCCAACCAGAGGGAAATCTTGTTATAATTTACTCTGGGAGAAGCAACAACCTATTGTTACAGTTTCTTTTTAAATCCTAAACCCTGACCCAGAAATCTCACTCCAGCTGGAAAAGACAGGAGCAGTCCGGGCATGAGATTTGAAGCACCTAGTGAGAAATTGCTCTGTTTGCAAACCACTGTCCACATGACCAACAGGCAATCTGCACAAAGGGATGAAGTCAGGGATCAGTTATTTCTCATTTCTCCTTACCTGCCAGCTTCCTTAGAAGAATAAAGTAAGAGCAGGTGGCGGCAGAAGACGGGTAAAAGGAAACTGAAGGGGAATCTGACTGCAGCGTTAGAGCTGGGTCCCAGGAGAGCCCAAAGTACCCAGCCTAGGAAAGCACAGCACCTCAGCAAGACCTCAGTAAAGAGAAGGATGGCAGAGAAGAGTCATCAGCAAGAAGTGGCTGGAGAAACCTTTCAGTCTTAGGTGAAGATGCTTCTGGAAGATGTGAAGGAAAGATTCTCCCAACAGGATGAAGATCATGAATGAAAGATGAAGAAAATCTAGGTCTTCAGAGTAAGTGAAGAAGAAAAAAAGATCCAGGAAACTGCAAAACTGCACAGCTGTGACACGACATGCACTGAGAACTCAAACACATGGCTGCATTCACACTGTGAGGCTGCAGTGGAATACATCAGTCATGTCTATGAAGGCATGAATAACTGCTTTCTTTGTGAGGACAAGGTATAAGGGAACCCATTACAAAGTTTCCGGCTCAGCTCTATTATATTTTAAATATACTCTGAACCAGCTTGCTGTGTCCCTGCCAGTCCTCCCTGCTTGTTCTGTCAGACTGCTGCTGAAGGATCCTAAAAACCTAGAGACTGCATTAGCTCACGGTTGCCACAGCATGAGTTTGTAATGCTTGAGATCATTTTCTTTATAGCTTCATGCTGAATCCTCTTCAGAGGTGGCCTCATATACCTTCATTCTGATATGCTGACATTCAACAGGCACATTTGATTGCATCACCCCCTTCGACAATCACACTTTAGTTTTATATCTGTGCTACTACCATGCCTGAATTCAGGGCCACCAATTTGGACAGTGAAATAACTGCTCACAGTAGGTTGACACTTGACTTCAGACGCTAGAGTAGGGAAAAGTTTAAAGCACAGTCACCATAACTATGCAAACACCTGTTTGGCAAGAGGTTTCTTCTGTGAGTCAGTGCAGGTGTAAAGATTTTATTACTCATGATCACACCTGTTAGTGCATGTGTGCCAAAAATCAGGAATAGCTAGATGGAGGAAGAGAAATAAGTTATAGGGCACACACCACTCTCAGAGCAATATAAATCCAAAGCAACTTCAGTAAGCTCATCTGAATTATTTTAAACTAACACTACTACAAATGAGTACAGAATTTGGCAAAGCACAACAAAATACTGTTCAAAACCTCTCATGAAAACCTTATAGAAAGTTACATACTATATATTGAATATATTAGATACATATAACCCCTGTGTATGTTTCGTGCCTATAAGTAAGCAGTTGTGTGGATGCCCTAACATACAAGGGACAAGAACAAGTGTAGCTGGATTTAAGTTATGCTTTCTTCCCCAGGACTTAAATGTTGCAAGGCTTACCCCCATCAGCTTTTAAGGGGACTCACAAAATCCAGATGTTATTTCACACATACACACGTGTAAAATATCACAACTTATCCCCATAGATTCAGCTAAGCTCAGAGATCAGTAGGTTTTTCTCACTTTCTTTACGCATTGGTCTCACCCTCCAAGGAAATCCTGGCAACCCTACAAAGTACCTCTTAATTTTTAATACAACCACTACATTCTTGAGGTAACAGCAATGACTGGGATAAAACTGAGTTTATTTAATTTCCATCTGCTGAAATGCTTCCACATGCATTAATTAGGGCTTAATTAGGCTAAATTAAGATCCCTTTGCATTGCTTGGATGATATAGGGATATTATAATAGCGTAGCTCTGTGTCATCCAGAACAGGAGCTCCAGAAGCAAAACTATTTAGACATAAAATTAGGAACAGCTCACAACACAACTCATCTCCCAAGGAGGGCCAACTGTCAAAGCAAACTGCATAGCAAGAGTCATTCCAGATGATATGCAAAATATACCAGAAAAGTTTCTTCACTGTAAAAGACAATGTACGTACGTTGGCTCTTCTGAGACTGTTCTGGTCTCTTCCATTTCATGTGCCTGTTTAAACCATGGCAATTTTGCTTCCACAGGATTTTTTTCTGGAAGAGAAAAAACCCAAACATTAAGTAATTCCTCCAAAACCAAAGCAATAGATAGATGTTAGCATTATTCACCTTAGCACTTCACACTTTACATTGCCTATTGATCTAATGCTTTTGAATAAAGATATACTGGTAAATAAAACATAATTTCCTAGAAAATTTCTTCATCATGTTTGAGCTCCATTCTGACACCCCTTTTTACTGAGAGGGTACCAGTAATCCAATTTCCATTCCTGTTTAATCTTTTACTTCTTTCCCACATCTTCCCCAAATGCAGGCAATTTGTATTAGATTGTAGCTTATACTTCAGTGTAATGGATTATCGTTATAACTTAAGTTTATAGCTGAAAAAGAAGCCAGAGCATAGCAAATGCACATTGCTCTCCAGATAGACTGGCTTCATTAGAAAATTTTCACAGAAAATGTTTTTTTGCTGAGCTATCCAGCTCTCCCAAAATTGGAAATTAATTTAAAAAACAACACTAGCTTCTTTTATCTGTCTATACATCTTACACTTCTGTGTTGCTTTTTCCTAGGAGTACTGTAAGCCAATTGAAGATCTGCGCCTCCAAACTTAAGTAAAACCCCAGAAGAAGGTTCTTAAAATTTCAGTGCTAGTTTCTACTTCATGGTTTAACCCTGAATAGTTTTCTGCTTGAAGAATTCTCTAGAGTCTGAAAACATCCTGAAGAGAAACATAGGGTTGTCTACACATGGGTTTCACTTTGTCTATGTAAATCTTTATGGTGAGTTGTGAAGGTCTGGGCCCACAGGGACAGAAGTAAGCAAGGGACAAGATATACTGGTTTTTCCCCTCATCTTTGTTTTTTCTTTTGACTTCCCACGCACTGTTTTATTGTTTTATGCCTTACCAGCTCTTTTAGAGAATACTTGCGAATTTACATCATTGCTATAGACCTTCTAAAAATGCAGAAATGGAGAAGAGAGAAAGGAAACCCGTTTGATTATAACTTAATCAACTGATGAGGCCCACTGAGAATGTTGACACATTTAATGAGATGCAAACAAACAAGATAGATGATACATATGGAGTATCATTCCCATTTCCAGTATTACTGAACAACTCCTCCTCCCCATGTTGAACTCATTAATTCTGGTTTTCCCAGTTTGACCAGGCTGTATAGATTTAGTTAGCATGTTCACCTCATGACAGTCTGGCCACATTATCAGCAAAAAATATCAGCAGGGCACTTTTCCTAGCACCAATAATTAAAATGCTTGTTTCTGCCAAGACTGAAATAAGTCCTAGTAAACCCCAGCTTCTGGCATTTCTGAAAAAGGTTACCAGGGGCTTTTAATTCTCTTAACAAAAATGTAAAACAATAACAGACCCAGACAAAATTCCAGTTACCTTTTGGCTTGTAACACGGTATTGGCACGATGCACTCTTCTTTTATATGTAGTTTAAGTTGTGGATTACAGCCACCGACATGTTGCCCACGGTGGTCAATACACAGCACTACTCGGTAACGCAAGCCTCGGCCACAGGTCACTGTGCACTGCAGGAGACAATGCAACCATCTCACGCTGTTTCTTTTTTATTATATTTACAAATACTGTTAAAAAGCAAGTTAGAAGTACTGATGATGTGTTCGCTAAAGTTTTTCTGCAATCAATCAGGTATCAGAGACGTATGAATTTGTCCCTGCATTGCTAGGTGAATAAAGAAAAGGTTGATGCTGGAAAAAATGTCTAAGTATTGGGAACGCAAGTGACTTCTCGGGGTTCTGTGAAGCTTATCTGATTGGCAACAGTCTGGAACAGAGGTGGCTATATACTGAGAATATGCTCTCTCACAGTGGTCATTTTCAGTTAAAGCTGGGTCAGACGTGCTGCAAGAACAGTTTCTTCACTGTATGTCAGTGATGTCATTTGGAAGAACTATGGAATTATAGAAGTGTTGAGCTATCTGACTGTATCAGATAACTACAGCCAAGATAAGTTGGCTTTATGTTCTTGTTACTATAATGGAAGGTAAGAATGCTGGAAAATCACCCTTGCAGACATGTCAGCCCCTAGACAGGCTTGCCTTTAGCTATTATATGCAGTGAAATATTACATTTATCAAGAACTGAGAGATGACCTGATTGCAAAGGGGCCTGGCCTCTGGCTCTAATTCCTCCTCTGTGTAAAGCAGGAATTCCACAGGCATAAATAATTCTATATGCAATTTTCTCCACACAGACATTTTAATATTTTGATCATCAGGCCAAATTACTTAGCGCAAACTTCTCCTAGTACTATGAACTATGCTTGCAGGGCTTATTTTTCTAATACGCCTGTGCTCACAAATACACGGTAGCACAAGACTAGAGGCTTTCTTTAGAAAACAAGAATAAAGGTCCAAATTACTTTTCAACTTACTTGAGACCATTCCATTGCCACCCATTTAGGACAATCAAACAGATTGCAGGTTTGAATCACTTTGGGCTTAGGGGCATACATGCATTTCCATTCTTCCACTTGCAGTATCTCTCCATGAATGGTCTCCTCTACACACACAAAACTTCTCCTCTGAATGCCACCTCCACAGGAAACTGAACATGCAGTCCAAGGGTTATGTTCCCACCTGGAAAAAGAACTCACATATATTAAAAAGAAGTCTATTTTTTATTCCACTAACCCCTATTAAAAATGCAAAATACCGAATCCAGCCTTAGTGTCATTAAAACCCACTGACAGTTTAGTTGCTGGATTCTTATCACACACTGAATATAAATACATTGAATGACAGAGCTACCTTGCATTATTCCAGGCTTAAATTCATGTGCAAAATGAGAAGAAAAATAGAACTATAAATTTAAGTACATTTCCCAAAATAACTGAAAATCTTATTCTCATACATGAGTTAACCTAAATATACTGAGTTTGATTACTGGAATGATTTTACTTAGAAATAGTTTAAATCATCTAAATAGAATATTTTTCACAGTTAATTTACATGGTCACATATACTCTTATTACCATTGTCAGAGACTGAGAAGCATATGTACTTGAGATTATATGAAGTCCAAAGACAAAGACAGATCTGGCTGTGCTGACTGAGGGTGTTATTACCCACAGTTGCTCATCACTGCCCACATCATGCACACTACCCTTAAAAATGTGTTCATGTAAGAATTTTTATGGGAACTCTAATACTTGCTTTGGGTAAACCCAGCCATTTCATTTCAAACTGTCTTCATCCATAAGGACTGTGAACAAATTAAATCATGACAGATACCATTTGGCTGGTCATCACTGCAGTTCTGCAAGAGTTTTCCACCCTCATTAAAATGCTGTTGAATGACTTTGTATTCACACTTTCCAACTTGCTTCAAGCAAAAGGCAGCTGCTCATCCATTTCAGCTGCTTTGGCTAGGCTAGCTGATTCCTCCTGAAGCCGGGCGATGCACAGATTAAGGAAAACTCACACGGCCCTGTCAACCAGCAGAGTTGTGGGGTAGTAACCTCTAACAGAGGGATGATAAACAACCTGCTGGGAGGGAAGGTCTTCAAAATGGACATCTATCCATGATCTTAGACCTAACCACAATAAAGATGGAAATTGCTACACCATCTGAAGTGAGAATTACATGGGGGTTCTTAGGTTATGAACCGTTTAATTTATCTCTTGGTCTTAGCATGAATGTATACTTAAGTAACCACTTCTCAACAAAAGATAACTTCAATAATATCCTGCTCCTGTCATGTTTAGAGATAACAAGCTTCTATCATAGCATTTGTCTATCGGTTCCAGTGACCCCCATGCAATATTTACTCACCTGTCACCTCCTATCTCTTGCTTTCTTTCCACCCCCCACCCAAATCAAAGCTAAGCCCTGGGAAATGATTGAGTCCTGCAGCACATCTTACAGTTTGTCAATGTCTTGCTAGTTTAAAACTTATTCCTATTACAACTGCAGGGGCTCAGAAAGGATCATGAAAAAATTATGTCCATTATGAGCAATGGACTCAGAAAGTACTACAATATCTCACCAAAATCAATTCATGGAGAGTAACTTAGTTAACATAAAGGAAGTCATAACCTCAGACTAGATGAAGCAAAGGCCTATACATCAAAGGTAAATTTAAGTAATTACTACCCACTTTCTATGATGCAGCAGGTGAATCAAGGACAATTCCTAATTTAAGCAATTCATTAAACTGCCTACAAAAACATATTAATCAAGCTTAAGCTCAACAGAAGAACGAGCATGAAACATACAACAAGCCATGGAACATTAACCGTAGAGGATATACTCAAAAGCATTCAGAATAAAGCTGTATGCCCAGATACTGATATCATATCACAAGTACAAATTACATTTGAAGACTAATAGTTACAGTTTTCTTTGACTTAAATGAATAGCCAGCATTAACTCATTTTCTTTAAAAAAAAGTCAGGAACTAAAGAGCAATTAACTGTTCAATGAATTAGCAGCTCATGGAATTATATATATAAGGCTCACTGTGCTATATGTAATACTAGCCTCACAAGTGTTTATAGCATGAAGTTTTATAGTTGTTTTTCTTTATCTCATCAGTTTCGAACACACTCCAGATCCCATACTCCCACAAGCATTTTCAAGATGGAGTGAGGTCCATGGCTACTGGGGAAAAGGGGGGTCTTGGGCAAGCAGTCAAGGAGATACTTTCCAGAACCCACAGCTGTCAAGCGATCCTCAACAGTCCAACAAGTCTGAAATAAATGGAGGCATTCCAAAAGCTTTAAAAGAAAATTTTCATCCTGGGAAATTTTTCTATTTATTTCAAAAGAATTCTCCATCTGTAAAAATATTTCAGTGGGGCATTTACAACTCTAGCCACAGGAGAACTCTTTCAAGATCTTGCGGTACACACCATGACTTTCCCACAACTTCCTCGTGTGAATGGGAAAGTAGTGGTAAATGCCACAGGACTGCAAAGCAGTCCTCCACACGGCCCTCGTGTTATGTAGGAGGTGTGATGTACAACTGCTGGTCAAGGTGAAGGAGTCTGTACAGCTTTGCTCAAGCATATCTACAGTACTTTGGTTTTCTGCCTGCTTTGCAAGAACAGTCTTGGGTTAGCATGTAAGAAACAGGTAAGAAAAGAAAAAGCAAAAAGAAATGGTGGAAGAAGCCCCAGCAGAACTGGCACAGACTGATGCATTGCAGTTACTTGACAAGCAACAGCACAGAGAAAACATCCTGCTACACTGAAGCAAGACTTGGATCCACGCTGGACCAGATTCACCTCTTGATGCAGGTATACAAACTGGCTGGTTCAGCTGCTGTTTTCTTTCAGAAATTCCAGCAAGAAAAGGTGCTTTTACATGTTCATTGTGTTTCTTTATGTGCCCTCCCAGTGGAACACAGCCTGTTTCCTCTCTCTCCTTCCTGCTGGCACCAAGTCTGAGCCCTGCTTGGCCATCTGCTACCTTACAGTTCTTACTCCTGAGCATCACCCAGGCAGACCATGATACCTTCTGACAGGACACACCGAGGTGCTGAAATGAGGCGGGCCTTCATCTGTAGTTCTTCGTGTTTGAAATAAGAGAACCTGCCCACAGCTTTATCGCAGCCATAATCTATCTCACCACAGCGTCATGCAAACGTGCTGAGCATAGTAAAGCACAGAAAGGGGGATTAAATTTCTCTTCCAACTGGTCTCCAAGCCGTGAGCAGTTCAGAAGATGAAATACTCATGTAAATAAATTGTGCTGTGTTCCAGAGGAGATCCAAAGTACAAAGACATTGGCAGAAGAAATGGGAGAGACACAGAATATAATTATGGAACATTACAGGATAAAGCCGTAGAGGAAAAAAAAAAACTCAATCTATGTATGAAAGCCAAAGTGCATCACAGGACAGCAGATCCACAACAAGCGTAAATTGCTGCAACATTTATATCAGCTGTAATCAGTAGCTCCACTGAGCCGTGCAAGTCTATGATTTCATTCTTATTACTTCATATCTTTACTTCTTTAGAAAAATACACATTATTCATTTCATGACATAATAAAGCAGAGGTTCAACTCAGATAAATATGCATCTGACTCCATCAACTATAATTCTTTACATTAACAGTAAATCTGGCTCAATGCTTTTTAGTCCTAACATTCTTTACAAAACATTTAAGCCTTCCAGAGAAGTTTTAAATTCTTGTGATTGATTCAGGTTAAAAAAAAAAAAGGCAACAAACTGTGCTCTGATGACTTAATTTTAGGCAATAAATATTCAGACAACTCAGTATCTTTAAAGTGACATGTCAGCCTTGATGTCAATAAATAGAGTATAGGTCTAAAAAAGAGAAGAATGAGACCTCTCAAGGGAAAGAGAATTTCTAGAATCCTGTAACATAGGGAGACCTGTTCTATAAAATAATATATTCGTTGCATACATCTTCAGAATAAAAACCTTTCAAGACAAGAATTCATACGTGCATTTTGAAGGAGATGGTCTTCTCAGCACTGCAGCAGGAGAAGGCTTAGGGGGACAATTCTTTATTCTAAATCCTTCCACATTGATATTTTCAAGAATATATTCAAGTATATCAAGAACATCTTACTGTTAAGCTAATCATCCAGAGCACACTGAAATAAATCACAAGCTTCAAAATGTGTACAGGACTGTTATAAACTTGCTCTCCTGTACAGCCAAAAATCAGAAGATGTTCCATGATCTTAGTACTCAAATAGTATATTTGCAGTGAAAATTATGCTAATGCTGACACATATGCTATCCTGATTATACATACCGAGGAAGTGGCTGGAAGTGATCATAGGGCATGATTTCTTTAAATCCGTCACTGTCAACAAAATAAATATTGCATCACTATTTCCCATACCCGAGACTGTATGTCAAGTACATACTTTTACATGATCATGCTTAAAGTAAGCAATTCCCAACATGAAATGGGGGAATCTTACATTTATTACACATTACCCTTGTGGCAAACAATGACTCGTATAATCTTACCTCTTCTGCACAGATAGAGATCTATTCAGCATACAGTTTCTCCACTTCATACCATCAAAAAATATTGAATGAGCAAGCCTTCGGCAGAGAATCTTATTATCAGTGATCCTTTAGGTCTGTGTTACTTTATTAACAAGAAAATAGTTACATACTCTTAACAAAGACCGCTGAGGAATATGAGTGGCAGTGAAATGAATGCATCACAGGATTAATCCTAGATAGGTCCTGAATGGTGCTTAGGATCCTTCTAGAGCTGTTTATTTGAACTGTGCAGCACAGAGCAGGCATAAAGTTACTTACTTCCAGAACTAAGAAATATAGCATTATATCCAGTAGTACTTTCTTTTTTCTGTCTGTATAAGCTAAATTTGCAAGGAAAAAGATAATCACACCCTTTCTTTCCCTAATTTTCCCATTCCAGCTTCGCAACATTTGGCACCCATTCCCATGAAGCATTACTGAGGTCTTACCACTCCATATAGTGATCAACTCTCCAGGAAAAAAACTTGAAAGTCTGCACATCTATAACTGTTAGAGGTCACTATCAACAATTATGTTCAACAGGAATGAAAGGAAATGGACAGTTTAGCTATAGGAAATGAAATCCATTGAGAGTGTTTCCTTTTCTTCTTGCATATAACTCTAGCTCGGCCAGCTGGCATATTAATGTGAGGTTCTGGGACTTGATACTGTGATGTTATTTTAAGATTCTTTAGCACAGCCAGGAAACCTCACCAGACAATCCAAAAGTTAGTTTGAAATACTGTAGTGCAATTCAATACAATTTATGTATACTATAGCTTTCATAATTTGGCAGTAATATTCTGTGGTATTTGTACCACAAGTATATTTACTTTGAATGTTTTTTGGTGGTTTTGTTTTTGGGTTTTTTTTTAATTCTTAGTGTGAAAAACCAAACCCCTCAAACTTTAATAATTGTCAGCTCCACAGTACAAATGAAGAATGAAACTTTTACGGTAGGCAGATGCATAAACCAAGTTAAACCATGTGCAGAACTTGTATGCTGACTGAGAGCTGGAGCTACTGGCTGCCTAATGAGAAAACCTGAATGGCAACATCGATAAATCCAAAAGCAGGCAAACAATCTGTCCTCCTCACACAACCTCACAAAATCCTTGTACTAGTGCTGTACCACTCAGCAAAAGACATAAAAGTAGAATTAGCCCTTGAACAGACAAATTGATATTTACAATACCTCTGTATAAAGCAAAGTCTCCTATTTTGCAACACTGAAGAAGTGCCACAAATCTATTAGCCATGGTGCCAGACATCAGCCTTTAACATGTGCAATAATCAATCAAGACTAAGTAGCCTTAAAGATTAAAAGAACTGAAATTAAGTAAATACAATTGCTTGTTCCTTAGTAACTGACTATACCACACACTTAAATTTACTTGTCATACAAACCTAGAAGGGCAGGGATCCATGTTGCATTCTTTTAGCTTGGGCTTTGGTTTCTTATTTTCTGGATAGTAATGACAGTAGTGGTCAGGAACAACACGCTTCAGACGAATATCCACGCATTCAGCTGAATTAAGCTGATAACCTAATGCAGAAGCAAAGTTAAATTTTGGTAATGGAGATAAATTAAAGCAGCCTTATTCTGCGCCCCTCCCCCCCAACAATGCACTGCCCATCGAATTAATTTCCTGTTACTCTTCTTCGGTTTGCTTTTAAATAAGTAAACACTACACAGGAATATGCAAGACCAGATCTTCAGTTAAGGGCAATTCAGCATAACATTTATGTTAACCTATCTTAACACTAGATAAGACTCTGGCACATTATTCTAATAATATTCTAAGTATAAGAGTAAAAGCATACATATTTTTATGTGATGCAGGAATACATGTACTGGAGCAGCTCAGCTGTCACCGAGGCAACCCTACAAAGTCATACGGTTCTACTACACGTTCCACAATTTATAACTGCCCTCCCCCAAGGAGGAGTTACCATGTATGTTACAGAGCTATATTACACAGCCTTGCATGCTAAAAAAAATAAATACTTAAAACAGAACACCAGAGGAATTGAAGATGAGATCCAACAACATCGCTAAGTTAAACTGTAGAAAACCAAGAAATAGTTTCAAGAACATTCCTAGTTGAAGAGCCAACTAAAGAACACTTGAAGTAATTACTTGGCAAAAAAAAATTAAAAAATAAAAAAATCTGTGTGGAGACTGGTTACAAGAAGGCATCTGAGATTTATAAACCACTAGGTTGCTTTTTTGGCTAAGAAAAAAAGACTCATTCAAAAGAGCTGACTTGGACTTAGACTGAGGAGAGGAGGAGGATGTTCTGGTATGTGCAAAGAAAAAAATTTTGAAACCACAAGAATTAAAATCCAAACAGAGTCAATAAACTATCAGCACAAGTCCCAGCGTCTACTGAAAATGCTAAGTATCATATATCAATGGCTTCACTTGTGTGTCTCTTGGCTGATTCAAAGGGTCATCATGCATGAGAGTGATAACCATAAAGAACTAACAGTTCCAGTGCTCAAAGCATGTATGTTCCAGTTCTTGTAAGTACTGAAAGGACCCAGACGATATGCCACTTGCAAACAAGATAAACACAATTTTTAAACGTCCTTGCTCATTCAAGCTTGACTCTGCTTTCTGAGATGCCCGTCACACTCCCCCTTCCCCTATATGGAGGTTACAGAAGTAAATGTAGAAGCAGCATCCAAGCGAGGAACGGTGGTGCCTGGGTTCCAAGTCTCTGTTGTGAGGAACAACTTCTTTTACTGCCAGTAAGAGGCGCCAAACAGACAATCTGGATACTAAATCCACTTTAAGGTAACAGGTTACAGCCAGGCAGCTGCAATACAACTTCCTTGCATGCCTCAGCAATATGCCATTCTTAAGACTACTACTTTCATGGGTAAGCAATAGCTTAGTTTCTGTGCTTCTTCAGTCACTGGCCTCTCTCAGGACTGCCATCAAGAGTGTCAAGCTCTGTTGATAAAGGTACCAGTTTCATATTACAGACATGCAGCTACAGAGTAGGGCATTGAAAACCCTGGCTAATTTCAAAGAGATTAACATGTAGCTATAATTTTCAATCCACAACACCAGTGTGAAGAAGGCTGGATTTGAGCCAATTACTTGGAAGGTAAATATGTCCTTTAAGTTATCTAGAGTTTACATGCAGTCCTCAAAAATAACTGTGATGCTTTACACTTCTTCCATTGTCAGATAGGTTAGGGAAAAATTCATAAACACAGTGTGATAGAATCATCAGAGGATATGTATTGCCACTCACAGTTCCAGCAAGAATCACACTTCATGAGGCCAAGCATCTTATAAGTTACAGTAGTTTCCTGTGGGACTACATATTATACACATATAATGTCTGCATTTCAGATTAAAGTGAGATGCAAGTGCCAAAATGGATGGTCCATCAAAAGTTCCCCAGATTCTGCTTGTGCTTTAAACATCTTTCACTCTTTTTACTCATGTCCCAAGTAACTATTTAAACCACATATGTACTCTCCAAGAAAACCACTACACCACTATCACTAGTATCCCAGTCTGTTTTTCAGGTGACCTGGGTAATGCTAGCTGAACTGAAATAGCTATCTATAATGTCAAACACTCCTCCTACAATGAGGTTACGCTTTTTGCAGAACCAGACATGACAAGCAGTGGGCTGGGCTGGATGAGCAGTAGCAGAGCCGAGCTGCACTTCATCTAACCATTGTACAAGCTGTAGTGTTTAAACCAGGCAGTGACCCTACAGCACACTACCTGCTGCCCTAACTACCATCAGGACTGTCTAAGATCAGACAGCCAAAGGTATTGATAGTAGCTGTTCTTTAAATTCTATTTACTTATCTGCTTTCTGCGTAACTAATTTCTAAACTAAGTGTTCTAAAACTCTCCCTAGAGAGTCTACACAGTCTACTACTGTGGCCAGAAACAGCTTCCTCCTCCATCTCTTGATTATCCTTATTTTAAAATCTCATTGTATTTTTTTGGTTACTTTCCCAAATTATCGTTTATGAATTGTCATTTTCCACGTTGAATGTCATATTGTTATTTATAAGGTATCTCGTTCTTACTCAAATGATCATTCCTTATGGAAGACTATGACTTCCAGTAATACAAGGTATAAAAAAACCTCTATGCTCAAACTAACTTAACCAACCAACTTAACTGCTACTCTGTCATTTCTTTTTCTGAGGAACCACCAGTGTGCAAACAAACACAAACATTTAATCAATAAAAATGCAAAATGAAGGTTGAAAATCAGTCACTGTTAATCTCCAGCCGTATTGTGGTTTAACCCCAGCTGACAAGTAAGCACCATGCAGCCACTCACTCACTCCCCACTCCCTCAGTGGGAAAAAAAAAAAAGTAGAACTCATGTGTTGAGATAAAGACAATTTAATAGGACAGAAAAAGAAGGGAAACTACTAGCAGAATGTACAAAACAAGTGATGCACAATACAATTGCTCACCACCCGCTGACCACTGCCCAAACAATCCCTGAGCCACGGTGCCCCCCGGCCAACTCCCCCCAGTTTATACACTGGGCATGATGTAATATGGTATAGCATAGCCCTTTAGCTTGTTTGGGTCAGCTGTCCCGGCTGTGTCCCCTCCCAACTCCTTGTGCACCCCCAGCCTCCGCTGGCAGGGCAGTACGAGAAGCTGAGAAGTCCCTGACTTATAAACGCCACTTAGCAACAACTAAAACATCAACGTGTTATCAACATTATTCTCATCCTAAGTCCAAAACACAGCACTGTATCAGCTAGTAAGAAGAAAATTAACTTTATTCCAGCTGAAACCAGGACAAGCTGTAAACACTCCTGAAGAATTGCCATTACTTACCTCCTCCACACGTCACTGTGCAGGGGAAGAACTCTGTTTGCCTCCACTGATGACTGATGGGTTGATAGAAAAAGAACTGAACCACACTCTCTTTTGATCCAGAGTACCTGGTCTGAAGAAATTTCCATTACAACACATGTGTATACTGTACTCCACTGTTCATGTCATTTCAAAACATAATTCATATATAATAGCAGTGCAGAGAGTAATATGGTAACAGGCATAATACCTCTAGAAAGTCAACGGTAACGTTTAAATTTAAGTTTCCAATAGTCAAACACTTGTATGTTGCTTTATTTTTCAAATTATTCAAGGTACTAATGTCACTATGTGATTATCTATCCTTGATTGGCAAAGTTCCTAACTGTATTCTTCTGTCTTATCTCACTGTTAGCAAAATTTTTAAAATTTGCTGGAGAGGGAAGTCTATAATTGATCTAAGCACACTGGTTCATATTCAGGCAAGTCTAACTGCACATGTGATATTGAAGACGCAAAATTAAAAACTACAGAACTATTTCTACAACATGACAGATAAAACCAAGTGGTGTGATAATACTGAAACAGCCGTCATTTCCAATGGAAAACTGTATGACTATCTTCCTTTGGCAATCAAATATTGATATGTTTCTACATATAAATATCTGCATGTATGATGCAAGCCATTGGTACGTGGCCTGGGTAGAAGAGAAACTTAAAAGGATTAGAAATGGTCAGTAGCTGGATTAGCAATGCCTAAGGGAGATTTTAGGGCGCTGCTGGAAGCAATGCTCAGATTCAGTAGGTGGCAGTCTTCAGTTGGATTAACACCAATCCACTGCACCGGATCCCACTGTTAGTCCTTTAGTAACATTTAAAACAAAAGTCCTGGCCATTTTTACCATTAAAGAGCCTGTGGTACTTTCCACCACAGCAAAGACATTAACCTCATAACATTTTAATTTGTTTGGATACACTTAGTATAAATTATCTCTGGACTGTAATTAGGATTCCTTATTTGCTAGCTACAAGATTTTGTTGTATTGCTACAACCTGAGGGACAGCCACCTACTCTGTTGCACATACTTGCAATATCTTTGTAGATTTGTACATACACACATCCCACCTTGATAATGAAATCTGCTCCAAGAGGTCCCTGGATCTTTACGATTTCCCTGTCTGTACTCTTCTGAAATTCAACAGTTGTATTTTCTATGACAAATGTTCCAGGAGCATTGAAACTGTGCTCTCCCTTGTCTCCTTGTAGTGTCTTTGACTCTATAACTAAAGAAGAAACATGCAATTAGTAAACTTAAATGGGATATTTTTCATTTTCAAGGAAGTCAGAAAGTAATGTTTACAACTTTGCCTTGCAAGTAACAGCTGTATACATGCATTAAAAAACCACACAGAGTACCTGTGAGAATATTAGCTGCTTCAGAGATTGTAGGCTGATACATAATTGCATGACATGCCAGCACAGGAATACCTGCCTGAACACACTATTTTTTTCATACCAGAAGCACTTCTGAGACACCTACACCAAGTGCTCTAAATAGTTATAAAGGAATAGCTTCAGCAGGACAAGCTGAAAGAAACTCAAAACAGATAGAATCAATACACAGAAAAATAACTCATACTTCCATGCAAGTCAAAAGCCTAGCAATTTCAGCAATCAGTCTCCAGAGAAGCCTGAATGGTGTCAAACTCACCAAACACTCACCTCAATACCTGTATCACTCTACCCATTCCAGAGCTCATTAACTCAACTTTGCATATTTCCCATGTGAGTAGAAAGCACGGCCGGGAGGTGGGTAGCTGCAGCACTGCCGGAGGGATGTCCCTTTCTCAGAGCAGGTGGTGGTGAAAACCCTTTCTGAGCTGTTCTGCACTCCTTGGAAACAGATTAAACTAACAGCCCAACAACCTCCAGAAGACAGATGAAGCATTTTAGGATTGAGTCACTTCCAGCAAACTGACTGAACTATAAGTGGACAAAGCTAAAGGAAGATATTCATAATGAAAGTAGAATTTTAGGCTCTGCATAATACGGCGTATAGGCACAGCAAGATGCATGACTTGAAATACACTGGTCTGGTTACAATCTGTCAGAGGACTGCATGAGAAAGGCATGAATCTCAGATGAGCTCAAGGCAAGCTAAAAGGAACCTTTTGATGAGCTATAAATACCCTCTTTCTCCAGCTACCTTGCCTTTTTTGGTACTTTAAACTGAGTTACCTAATTCAGGCTAGATAATTTAGGCTAAGAGCATCTGTTTTTACCCGTACTGAAAACATACTCTGAATGCTGCAGTCCATCATTACTGTTTTCCTCCTTAAGGTCTTTTAAAATACAAATGTATTCTAGAGCATACCCAACAAAGCCAGTGAAGAAATTCTAGAAAAAATCAGCTTCCCTGAAAAGGTACTAACATTATCCCAAGTTTCTAAGCATCAGGTTCCACTATGCTTATAGGTATAACAACGACCACATACATGGCTGGAAGGAAGTTTAAGGAAGGATATGTTTGTAGGAAATGACTTTATGTTGATCATAGGGTAGGAATCTAGTGGTGACTCAAATGTACTTTGTCAAAGAGAGAAAAATGAAACTCTGGGAATCAATGTGCCCCATTGTCCAATGTGTTTACATTAGGAACAGATAGATATAAACAAATGACAGAGAAATCAATTACTTAGAGGATTATTACATATTTTTGTTTGTTACTTCTACAGGAGTGGAAGTAACAATTGCATTGTTACTTTTTTTACGATTGCATTACAAAATAACCTTTTAAATATCCAGAACTCAGCATTCTTGGATTAAGCGTCTGCAAGCCTTGACCCCAAACTTACACTGCTTAACAGTAAGTATTAATGCATGATGCCTGTTATTCTATCATTTAGTTGACTAAGAGTCAAATCAGCAAATCTCAAGTACTTCCAACTCCACATAAAGTCAGTAGGGTCCTCAGCAGTACAGGACCCCTTTGAAACTAGCATTTAGGATTGCAAAGTAAGACATCTGGCAGTTGCAAAAAGATATTGAAGATGGGGACCCGAGCTGCATTACTTTACAGTCTTTATGCTAATTTTCTTAATAAAAAAGAGTTTTTATGTTTTTCTAAGCACAAGCCAAGAATATTGTTCAGCAACCAACAACATGATAACTCACCAAGAGCTGACATACATTTATGTTAGAGCTACACTAGATTTGAATCCAAAGCATGTATTTATTTGCAAGGTCCAACTATAGAGTGATGGCTTGTATCTCTGGAGGTCACATCGGTGAAGCTTAGAACAGCTGCTCAGATTTTCCCAGAAGCGTGTCACAGAGGGAGATGAAGCGCTATTCCACAGCACAACAGATAACCTCAGATGCAATATATTCCTGCTCAGTAGTATCTAGTGCTTATCATCACAGGCTTCTAAAACAGAGTGAAACCAAGCATCTAGTGTATGCGACACATACATAACATAGTAACTATTATTAGGGAATCCCCCAAAAATACTACTTTATTGATTTCAGAGCAGTAACTGTGAACACGGGTTTCACCAACTGGCTTATAGGCAAGGTTTAGAAAAGAATTCACCAAACATTTATTTGTTCTGCAGGGTCCTGTATTCCTGAAGAACTGGGAAGTTTGACGTCAGGAGTAAGCTTCCCCATCCTAAGTTAGGGAAACATTTCCTTGAGGGGTCTTTAGGACTCCAGATGTGCAGAGTCAAAAGGACAGGGAATTCTCTTGAGTGCTCACCTCTTTCTGTGCCTAACAAGATAATCACTGGTGCCAAAGACCCAAAACTGTCTGGTTTTGTGTTACTTCCCTTACCTTGATAAAAAGAGTCTTTTCCCCATGGAAATGCCTTGCCTAGCTGTGGATGGAAGACCCACCGCAAAAGCCTCCCATACTCAGTGGCAGGCAGGAGTAGGGCAGTGTGGCATGGGGAAGCCACTGCAGATACCCCGCTGTGTAGAGAGGCACACGGAAGAATTCCCAGGGAAATAGCTCCTGCTCCCAGTGCAAGAAGGAGCAAATCATGTTGCTACACAAAAGCTCTTTCTTTTCCGTGCGATTCATTCGTAGAAAGCACAATACAGGGGCCCAAATTAAAACATGCATTCTTTTCAAAATGCAAGCAACATTGTCGTCTTCTTAGCATGTGTCAAAAGACAAAGCAGTGCATAGATGTATAGCTAAATACTGTCAAGTAATGCAAATCACTGCAAGCAGAGAAGAAATTGATGAAAAGGCAAAAAAGAGTTTCAGTTCCTTTTAGTGAAGTTTAACTCCCTTAAGTTCATGAACTCAGTTATCTAGCATTAGCCACTTGTAAAAATATTAGCTTCTGGTTTTCCTGTTTCTTCTACTGGAGGATTAATTTCAAGGAACTTTCAGTTTTTGTTTTGATTCTAATGCTCTTAAAACAACTGCTAGAAAAGCCATAATATAGTCCAAATCAAAAACAAAACCAACACAATGAAACATTTTATTCATAACCATTTTGCTACTAATTATTTGGTTATTTTCCACCAAATCATTCACAAAACCCAAGCAGACAGAAATACAAAAGGGGCCTGTTTGCAAAAAAAACCCGGAGTAACACCTTTGCTCTCTGATGAATCTGTTGTCTGTCTTAATGTGTCTATACGCACAAACAAATACTTATTCTTACCAGCTACAAAGAAATGCAGTCTTTCCTAAAACACTAAGCTGCTGATTGTAAAACAACGTTCAGAGAATTATTTGTTTCAAATCTGTTATGCACTACATCTCTAACCACTTTGCCATTTTTGATTAATCCAGCAGCTGTGTTTCCCTGGAACAAGAGCAGATCATAAAGCCCAAGATGAAGCACAAAAGAACACAAGATATAGGGAAAAGCGCCAGACACTCCATAGTGCTCTTTGAGTGTACACTACTGCTGCTAACTTTACTTGAAGAGCAAACATATACTGGCAACAGGAGGCAGTATAGAGTTCTACAATAAGTAGTCCCTGTTCCACCTGTTAAATTCAACTCTTTACAAGCCAGGAAGAACGTCTCTGACAAATGGAGCCTGTAATTATAGGTGTTTTTTTTTTTAAATTCTGCCTCTATACCAGCACGCCCGCACAGAAGTTAATGAAGTTGCAGACCAAAGATCACTTGATATTTTCTGTTAAGTGACAAACACCCACAAACATACGTACAGTCAGAAAGGCAGACAAGCAAACTTTCCCAAAGCACATCCCCTAGAATAGCAGTTCTTGAAGACCTGGCTATGAAGCCAGAAGCAATTTCCACCTCCTTCCCTACAACAGCTCTCACTTGTTTTTCACCTCTGTCATTTTAATTTTAGGTAAAAAATGTCTAAATCCTCACAGATTTGCAAACAGATGTGCTGGGGGAAGTGGTTAAAGGAACATTTGACAATTCTCGTCCAGCTAGAGAACTAGCTAACAAAGGTAATGCCAAGCCACAGCTTCTTTACGGAACCACCCTGGGTAGGAAGCCAGGAGCACTCTGTACTTAGTTACTGAGTTGCTGCTGCATTCCTCAGGAGCTTTCCAGAAACCCCCCAGGAGGCACTGAATCTAGTACTTGTTCCTCATACAAAGCTGAAACAAAAACTTCCTTCTGCAGAACTACTTAAGAAAGACCAAGAGTCCTGACCTGAACTGGTCAGGATCATTCCTTCATACGTCCCTTGCAACAGTTTTACATGAATACTATTTATTTCAAGATAAGTTCGGTTTTGTACATTGTTGATATCAGTGTTATATCTAGAAGTTATTGTCACTCTGGAGCTGCTCTAAAGTGGAAGTCTTATTCAATTTTTCCTTTGAAAGAATATGACTATTTTCTTCAAAGCAAACAACTAGATGAGCAATTTTCAAATAAAATGCATTTCTGTCTTCTATTTACATATCTCAGAGGAGTAGAAGTCCTTTTTATTTCTATGATTCAGACTAAGTCTTCCACTTTTACTAATAAAAAATTGTTCAAAATGTTAAATGAACGGTTTATTTCATTGCTTGGTATGGTAGTCGCACTTATTGAAACAATCAGTTCTTTATGTAAAGTAGGCCTCTGGACAAAGAAGTTACCATAGATATTACCATCAGCCTTACAGAAAATGTTAGGAAACAAACATCTAACAGAATAGCAAATTGTTTCTCATAGATGGTATGTCATGACCAAAATTATTAGAAGGAAACAGGACTTGTGTAGTTTATTTTATGTATTTTGTTTATCTTACCTCATCTTTACCTAGATTACTTTTCCTTGAACATTGCTCACTGACCAAGTCTGACTTCAACTGGACTGTTTACGCTATCTCAGACTTCAACAGAAATCTGGTGCTGTTTTATATGAGTGGTCCCAATCCCACACATAAGCCTTTGAAAGTAATTTTGACACAACTGTTTGCATGTAGTTTAAGAGTGTACCGCATTTTAGACATCTTATATAAGAATTACCTGGTTTACATAAATTTAGAAACCACCAGTATGTATACTATTTCTTTTCACTAAGTGGACTTCCAGTGTTCTGTAGGACTATCTCCAGGCTGGATATTAAAGATAGGAAGAGGAATCAAGGTCATGATCTTACCCATATTTCCAAAGTTTGGATGAGTTGAGATACAAGGTTCTGTTTTTACCTTCTGCCTATGAATAAATACATAAAACAGCTCAGTCATACCAAGGTGTGCTGGTCCTTTCAGGGTAATTCTCACACTGCGACTCCCATGTGGTACAGCAATCACCGTTTCTTCCCCTAGGAAAATTAAAGAACTGTTTTAGCAGTTATCTTGCATCAGGGAATTTGCACATCACATAACTAGACTGAAAACTGTCAAATGTGTCTAAGAAAATGTTTAACAGGTTTCACAATTTTTCTATTAAAAATAATCATATGTTATTTTATTAAGTACCATATACTGAGTCTGTTTGCTATGCTATGCAACTATTAAGACCTACGAATGGACTTGTAAATCTTTCTTGCTATTGGAAAATTATTTGCTATTAACAAAACCAACTGAAATGTCAGTAGTGTATTAGGAACATATTTACACTCTGTTGTCCTAGTTTTATTTCCTAATCACTGAACTGACATAAGGAATCTGCTAAGTAGTACTTCCCCCTTACAAAAACCTGCAGCTGTTCAGTCTCATTTTGCCCACACCTCATTTCCTGCTGCAGGTCACAACTTTAATAAGTGGCAGGACTTACAGGAAATAAATCATCTACTTAACACTAACCCTTAACCAATTACAGACCAGTTAAGAGCAAATATATATTAGCTATAATGTATATGTTATAAGAGAGCGTCTGCATCTAACTTACCATATAAGATCATTTCTTCCAGTAAGAGCCTCAATTTAAAATTAACTATAAACGAAACCAGCCCTGAATAGGACATGTCAATACAAAACAGCTTTTGGCTGCCTGAATGGCCTCTTCATATATAAATGTACAACACACTTACTTCAGTGCATTTTACAAAGGCAGAAAGTTATTACTTTCCATTTCAAATGTAGGAAATCTGTGATTTGCCCAAGCAAACTGAGTTAACAGTCAAATCAATAGACCAGAGCCTTTCACGCCAACAAGAGCAGTGCTCTCAAAAAAGGGTATGCACGGTGCACGACAGGCATATCCACAAAAGGACAAGAGAAGTGTCCAAGCAACGAAGTGCCAACATGCTGTCTCCCATTTCCATCACAGCCCAACTGCAAATCATCTTTGAGGCAGGACGTGCAAGCATGGGCCCATCGCAGGTACACCCCGCAGAGGGTGCTCTCTTCAGTGATGGTGTTAACATATATCTAGGGGCTGGCGTAAAGGAAGTTCATTTTTGCAAATTCAAAAAGTAATGCAAGTTGAAGGTCAGTGATACATTGGCTCCAGAATTACTCACACGATATTTAGAGGAGGAATATTTGAGTTTAGTTTTAACTAAAAAATAGTCGAGGAATGTTTCTTTCCACTTTAAACCGGACCCTTTTACAGTAGATGCTAAATTATCAGCTTCTGGTTTACATCTCCTTAGCATAAGTATGAAATCCTGCCAAATGTTCAGGATACTTCAAGCAAATACTGCAATTATTTTTTCTGAAATAAACACCTTCTTATGTTACAGGTTTTATATCGCCAATTTCTAGGAAGGTCATTTAAATATAACAATTTATTTTGGATGTAATAAAATATGATCTTTATTAATTTCATACTTGGGTATTCCACCAGAGTGCAAAATACTACAGTAAGAACAATAATACAGTTAAGGAGCCCTGGAAAAAACATTAACTACTGAACCACTTAATATCTTTTTGCATCTTGGTTTTTCATCAGGCGAATTGCTAAAGATAGCCAGAAGGTAGTGGATGTGTATATCTTTAAAGTAAGGAAATAACTACTGAATTCATATGTGCTCTACAGTATTTGAGAGAAAGCAGGTTTGAGGGGCCCATCTGTCCCTACTTGGTCAGGAATTGTATCCCGTCTTGACAACCAACCAGCAGTTACAGCACAAAACCTCAAATAAGAGTCTGATTACGACCAGTTCTGAATACTGCAACTGCTGTTTTGAAGTGGAACCAAGGGCGCTCCGTGCTGAACAGATGAGGCCCAGATTTGCAGATGTGCAGAGATGTGTAGGACTGCTCCTCTTGAGAACGACCAGGGTCGTTCTGCTCTGCGTCCTCCACCTCCTTACAGCAAGCTCCGCTCGCCTCGGCAGGCCTTGTTGATCCCTTTTCAGGATGCTTCACATTCCTTTAGCAGTACTACAGACATTCCACCCTCACCGAAGCACTCTCTGATATGGTCCAAAAGTCTCATGGGGGTGCTAAATTTGGTGTTTCTCTGCGGCGGAGACAATATTACCAGAAAGTATTTTATTTGCATTAGAGGAGATGACTAAGTTCACCACCACAGCAATGTTCAACCTCTGCAGCCCCACAGACCTGTCAAGAAATCCAACAGCAGGAGATTCTTGTAACCTGACTGAGATAATTATGACCTAGGGCAGCCTTTCCATGAGATGAAGTAAATTATAGGAAAAAATAAAAGTGAGATTTTTGGAATTCTGAACCGAGATGGGGAATTGGAAGAATCTGGGACAGAGCTGACCTAAGGGACTCCACCTTCTCCTGAAGAGAGCTTTAACTTCCTTCAAAACAGTAGTTACGATTGTCCAGATCTGGCTCCAAAACTATATATTCCAAAGGTCTCCAGTTCTCAGTTGAAGCATAAAATTCACATTCTTAAAGGAACACAAGGCCCTGTAAACCCATTTAAAATTTGTTATGCTGTACATTTCCCATTAAATCAGTAGGATCCACACTGTTAAAAGCAGTGAACTTTCATGAAAACATAAGGGGAAATTGCTACCCTGAAATCTATACTTAGAATTTGCTATTATCTTTTTTCCCCCCTTTATACTATTTATGTATCTCTGAGAGTCAATGGCTGACTTTTGTCTAAAGCTGAAAACAAATAAGCCCCAAATCATCTGGAACATGCAGAAACACTAGACTGTAAAATCTGATTTTGGAGTCATATAGCTGACCTGCAAAAACTGAGAAACACTACTTCTACTGTAGGGATTCCCGAGGGCATGTGGGTCATCTTTTTCCAGCACCTGCTTGAAATAGGCTTTCTACTCTTAGCCAGGGACTCTCTCAGCAAATGTGTGCACACGCTACACACAGCACTTGCTGATTAAGCTCCTGGATTGCCTTTACTTTAGATGGCAAGGTTTGATCCTGTTTCTATGGTGCTAATGTGGATTTAGATTTTGGATTTCAATGAGAGCAAGATCAGAGTCCCTGCTATGGTAAGACTGGGAGCTAATCCCCAGGATCAAAATAAAGGAGCCACATTCCTGAGCTCAATCCAATTCAGCAGGTTTTATTTATTTTTCCATGTGGGCCATGGTGGACCCATTTACTGTTTCACAGTATGGGCCAGTTGGGACTTTTTCCTCTCTCCTCTTACACCAGGGCAGAGGGTTTATTTCAGGTCTATAAAAACTGTTTCTTTCCATGTATTTGCTCAGCACTTATCTGCTGGTCCTCCAGTTCTGATCAAAGGCCTATGTGCTCTCAAAAGACAAAGACAATAGTCCAGGAACAACTACCAGCACAAGGGAACTATAAAGCTCAAAATGTTTGGAGTCTTACTGCAGTGACTTCCCTCATCCACCCTAACATTAGGCATAATTTCAGGAGACATTGGTGCTGGGATATGTGCTGACCTGCCTAATGACAAGGATCTGTGCAAAGCCAAATACATACTCTTTAAGAGACACCTGAACTAGATGGCTATGTGCTACTGAAAGCAGCACTTATATATCTTGACCCTAAAAGTCACACTGCAAAATCTGTATGGGCACATCTTTCTCTCCTTGAGTCCTTTCCTCTCCAGTCTCACACTCTCCCACTCCTCTGTACCTCCATCCCTCTGTCCACTGGTCTTATGACTCAAGGCTGCCTCTTCATCTGAGAGTGCCACTTCTTTGCATTTTTGAGTAAGTATTTTTAAGGTGTGGTAATCTGCTTTTGAGACAAACAGTGTGGCCTCAATTCATTGGACTTACATACTTCTTTCTACTTCCAGTCACCTCTTCTAAAATTTGTATGCACTGGAGAAAATGTGCAGACACACAGTAAGCAATGGATCTCAAGGAAATGCAGTGTGAAATAAATAATGAAATAGCCAATGTTCTTACACAGGAATTTCTCCAAGTAAGACAAGAGAGATCAGGAAAGTAAAGGAGGCTTCATACTACCTACAACAGCCAAGTAAACCAACCAAACGAAACAGATGTGTAGACTGACATAGTTGGTGCTGAAGACCCAGCATCCACACTATACACACTGCAGGTGCTTCACTTTGGACTAACTCTAGTCTGACCCCATGGACTGCATATTCAGTAGCTGCTGAAGAACATTAGGTGCTTTTCTGGGGCACATCTTCCGGTTCAGCTTCATCCAAAAAAATCCAGTTTATGCTCTCTAAGACCATTCCATGATGTGAACTGATGAGCTGTATGTTAGGACCGTGATGAAATTTGCTTCAAAAAACATACTCTTTATCCAAATTGAAATGCTAATGTATTGGCTTTCTATCCCTCCCCACACACAGTTTTGCTGCCAAACCAGTCCCAATTCCCTCTCCTGGCTCACACACAGTTGATTTTTCTCCTTCCTTTCCGAGTGTTTCTGACTCCATCTCCCACCCCAGATTCCTTATCTAATCTCAGCCTTCCGCTCTTCCTCTTCTTCCTTGACCCAATATATCAGTATAGCCAGTCCTAGGTCCTCCTCCCACCTTCTCATATCTGTCTTTCCCTCACTATATGAACTAATGTCAAATTTTTCTGTTCAGCTAGTCTCATCTTGTCTTTCCCCCTCCTCATGTGATCTCATCACCCCCAGTCATAAGTCTGAAGCTTGGGAGAGTCAAAAGCTCTCCACAAAATCTCTTCTCTAATGCCTGAATGTGAGGCAGGAGGCATCATAGAGTTCATCCCACAGTACCCATTCTACACTGCAGCAAAGTAGAAAGGATGAGCAAGCTCAAGGACACTTTTTAATAGCTTAGCTCTGAAAAAGCAACATGTTCATTTATTCTAAGGAGATTGCACACATATGATCTGTTTGCAGTTAGGACATGTAACAAGCTAGAGGACACTTAAAAGGACAAGTTTTCAGAAATGTCAGCTGTTACAATCCAAGAAGCCTCTACAGAGCCTGAAAGAAAAGGTTGGGGTTTTTTGAAGGGTTGTAGTAAAATATGTGTTGATATTCACAGATATTGCAAAAGACTTGTCCATGACCAGAAGACCATTGCCTGCCAAATTTCAAATCCCTGATCTGTGATCAAGTCTAACAATGGGGGATGTTAAGACATATTAAAGAAAAAGTTTCAGGAATGTTTTGACAGTGGGAAACAACATGTTTTTCCTCTTCTGTGTCCTTGGAATATGCTAAGTTGCTTTGGCTGAATTTTCTCCAAAACATTCAGCACCTGGCATGGAAAGTTTCTGACCAAACTGTTGAATTTTGGCAGAAAATCATTCATATAAAGTATCAGGCAACCTTGACAACAGGGGTTACTAGCTCCATGTATATTGATTTCAAAGGGAAAAAGATGCAAGGTAGCAAGTTGTCACAAAACAGATGGCTGATTATACTGAACAGGCAGCCTTGCAGAAGGCCTCTGTTTAGATAAATGACCAAAGTGAAATTAGGTTATTGGTTAAGCGTGCTTGGTCATGATGACATACAAACATGAGACAGTAAGTGACCAATGGTAAATTACACAAGTGCCATAGGAAATAAAACGCATGGCAAGAAGAAATTCAAACAATTACAAGGCTATCGACATTGAAACTCTTGGTATGAAGCTTTTACCAAAAAGTTAAGAAAGGTAAAACTTGCAAGTATCAAACAGTTTGAGAATCAAATAAGACCAGATTAGGACAAGTCTGTGCCTTCAACTTCACTCTCTGTTAATTTCAGAACCAGCATATTTTCTTCTTCCTTGGTACCAGAACCAGAACACTTTCCTACCATTTCTTGCCAATAATGGTGCAGAAAGCAGACATCAGGGCCCAATCCTACAATTTTTCCATGTGCACAAAGTGCAGTAGAGTTAATGGGAGTTCCATGCATATAGTACTAGAAACATCAGGCCCATGATACCTCATTTCCCAATGGGACGGTACATTTTACAACCTATTACACTCTTTGTTTGAATATCATTAGTCAAACCTTTAATCATTTTACCAGAATGTTAGAATCTGGCTTGCTGGCCGAAGTCTAACTTACTTTGTCTTTCAAAGGCAATTAAGTGTTAGTGGAAAAAATAAAGAACTTTTGAAATGACAGTTCATTTCATATTTGCAAAACAGTAAGCTTTCTTTCAGTGCTGCTAAGCTTTCCCATCAAAGAGAGGCATTCATTTTATGTAAAAACATATAAAAAAAGATAATAAAACGAGCTGAGTTCGTTTACGAGAAATCATTCGCTATCAATACTTACATTTCTTTTTTTAAAATAAGGACCAAGATAACTAGGCACTTTTATTTTCCCTTATGTCTCTCTCTTTTTTTTTTTTCATAATAAAATCTTTGGCTCTTGCTTCCCTTTCAATTCTTTAATTTGCCTCATTGCACAATAAAATTTACATCCTGCTCACAACCTTACAAGCTCCCTCTTAAATACATCTGTCACGTGTCGATATTTTACTTCTCAACGCTAGTTCTGAAAGCTTCCAAATGACTATTTGGAAGATATTGTGTCTCCCTTCACTGATATATTAGCACAAAGAAAACATGGCTTTATTTCCACATTTCATTCACACAGAGGATGATTATGTGGAAGTGCTTTCATAGTGTTGAACAGCTTGACCCCCAAAAAGATTTTGGCACTATCACAATACCGAGAAAATCATCAAAAGTTCTGATTGTAGTACCATGTGTACTGTTTTGCTTACATGAATGGTAATTCATTCATATAATCTAGCCTACTGAAGTGTGAGATAAAACCAAAACTTGACGTAACCGACATCTTTCCCCAGAATAGTCTTTCTTCATCTTTAAGAACTCTTCAAGAGCCACTGAGTTATGACAGAGAAAACAATGAATCATGGCTATTCTTCATAACGTGGTCAAGGCAATTGGAGACCTTCCACCAACTGATGTCAGCTGTAGTCAGCTCCTACCTGTGCCAGAATACCACAAGTAAAATTAATATTTTCTGTCGCAAAATGACAGTTTCAAAACCAGATCCCTTTTACCACTTTGTCTTTACTGTACTTACATACTAAGCGGCAATTAAATGTGAATCTTTTTATTTCACTTATCATGAACTAACCAATCAGTTTTGCCATTCCAACAAGTTTAGTCTGGGTTGCCTTAGAACTAGGCAGGGTGTTCCCCAGGAATTGTCCTTTTCCAGGATAATCTCTGTTGCTGTAAAACGAGAACAGACAATGCAATTCCTTTCTCTTCCAGCTGACCTCCACATCAGAAAGGGGAAGACATATTTTGTGTGTATATACCCCTATATATCTATATCTACCTATATATAGACACAAAAAATAAATGCACTTGGTAATACTACAAAAATATTATGCAATCTTTACTGTTTCACAAGTGCTTGCTCTGTGCTGACCAGAAGCTCTGAGTATTTGATATGACAAAGTGAATAAAAAGTGGCCCTCCATGAAAACTCTTTTTCAGCTCATTGTAAACCTTCAAGACGTTTGCTCACTGTTTCAGGATGAAAAACTCTATAAATTACTGAACGACGTTCTCCCATCCATGAAAAAGGCCTCTAGTAAAGGCAAGACAAAGGCTGACATTGATAGCCCATTCGGTACATAAAAAAAGGCTCTCTGACTTGTGCAAAATTACCATGTGATTTTAAAAGATGCTGCCACAAAAATATTCACTTTTTAATTTAGATTACCTTTGTTACACCCATGTATTGAATTACAGAAATTAAGTACCTGCACAGTATAAGATAACCTAACATAAAACCTTGTAGATCAATACAAGTAATTACATTGCAAGGTAACAAGCATTAAGATAGCATACATTGCACTTCAAGTTACAGCCACATTGAAGCATACTGCAAGCAGTGGCATTAAAAAAACCCATGGAAATATTTACATATAATGCAATAAGAAATAAGCACGATTCAATATACAACAGCTCTTTCAAAATTGGGGCACAAGTCAAATCTTTGCAAGCTGAACTACAACAGTACTAAACTATATGTAGCTGTCAAAGGCAGGTGCTTCATCTATCAAAAAAAAAACCACCTGCTTGCATTTGAGCTTTGAGTATCGACTTTATTCTAAGAGCACCAGATTATCACCGTTGCATCTTGTGACTCTGCAGGAAGGTAACAAACCCCAAAGGCTCCATCTCCTTGTGACAAACGCATGGGACAAATGCACATTGTGAGTTCAGAAACAGAAAAAAATAGATGTGAGGCAACTGTCTCACATGATAAACACATGGGATATATGCTGTGAGATTACAGGGAGCATCATCTGTGAGGGTGGAAAGCACAAGTGTCAGAAGCGAGCCTCCATGTAACAAGCCTTGCCTGGATATAAAAATAGCCAGACTCTTAAGACTCCAGTAAAGTGTCTAATTCTGATACCCCTCTTCTCTTATATTTTCAGTACTACTGAGACCTACAGAGTTACTCACAGTAAGATGCTAACGATTTTGAGAAAGAATGGCAAAATTTGAGCAAAACACACACACACAAAAAGACAAGAAATCATTATTCCCTTTTACCTTGTGCTTTTTGTACCATACAAGTAGTTAGTTAACTTGCCTCTGAAATTCAACTGTCTTTAGACACTTCAAAAAACAACAAAAAAAGCAAAGCTAAGTTGGAAACCAGGCACTTTCAGTCACGGGCCACAATTTCCATAAAACCATCTATAAGATGTTTCCATGATTTAAAAACATTGCTGCAGCATCACATATATTGCAACATGAGGATACTCTCTAAAATAAGATGTGCATCTTGATGGTTATTCCTGATAGAATGAATTGAGTAGCTCTATAAAAAAAAAAAAATGCATATCTCAAATTCTTTCCTAGCTATACCCTAATGTGTGGTATCCCTCATGGAATTTCAATAGACTAATCTAGCACAGACTTTAGAATAAGTAGCTTTGGAAAACTGCAAAGAAGTATATAGTTAAAAGGTCAACACTCTGCAATACATATGTTAATATACAAGCAGAAAACATAGTGAAGGATAAATTATCATAGGATCAATTTGCAACCTACTTTTTTCTGGTGAGACATGTGCCTTAGCTTGTCCCCTCACAAGCCTGCATGTTGAACCATCTCCTGCACAGATTCCACAGTTGTCTTCCTTGGCATTGCTCCCAAGTTGTCGATCACAGCCTACTGCCTGCCAACATCAACACCACAGTCAGAAGGAGGGCAAAGCTGTAGTAGACATGCTCAGGTTTCTGGAATTTTATTTATTATGTTATCCTTTTGATTTTATGAGCTGGCCTCATTCTATCAAAGCATATCTTGCTATTTAAGATTTTAAAAGCACACTGTCATTTCCATGATTTTAATGATGAACCACAACAACTGATATATTAAGCTATTCAAGCATAGGAAATACATGAATCGGTTTCCCACTACTTATGTGAATGAATACCATTGAGCGTTATTCTTTCCAACACAAGGGACAACTATGTTACTTACAATTTGTTTTTCATCACCTGTTTAATTATGCCTGAGAAAGGATTAATGCAATTAAATAACCCAAGTTAAATATTTAAAGGGCACTCAGTCTTCAGCTTCACAGACAAGCAGCTGTGGGCGGCGCTCATAATCTAGTGTCTTGGCCATTCATAATTTAACTGGCATGCATGTAGATCTATTTGCCATTTACATCAATGTCAATCATGTATATATTTGCTAACCAGGTTTTAAAAAACTTGGATGATTCAGTTCTCACCTTTTGATTTTTTTTTTCGTTTCTGAATATGACAGCCAATCTATAAAACTTTCCAATGATTATTCTAAAAACACCCAAACTTAAACACTGCCAACAATTCCAAAAGCAACATTTTTGAAGAGCTGTCAACTGAAAACTCTCCAAACTACAATGAAAACATTTTTACGGGTTTTCCTTTTTCTTCATATCAGTCACCCTACAAGAAGCATAGGAATGAGAATGGGAAGACAAATAAGAATAGACAACATTAACTAAAAGCACCTTCCTGCTGAAAGGGAGATAAATATTTGGCCTCACCTATATTACCCTTCACCATTTTGTAGAAGAAATTTGCAGGGAGTACCAAATGCTGAGCAATGTGGTAAAAAGCTAATCTGCAGCTTAAGGTTTTCTCAAGTCAGCCTATATGCCTCTTATATCCACACATCCCTGAGAAGTGCAGCTAATTCATCATGGACATATATATTTAACCAAACTCCAAACTGACAAATGGATAGAAAGCACTATGGAAATTCACAGTTAAAAGCAGTGCTAGAATTCTGAAATTGGCCAGCACACTCCTCTTCCTATATAAAAATGCTTGCAAGGGGGAGTCCTAGCTGCCAAGATCCACTGCATCTGTGCTATGCCAAAACTGACACACGATCCCCTTGGAGAGGTGAGGATCGAGTCCGCACGTAAGAGGCAGGGTTGGGACTTCCAGTCTGAGTTAGCGCGCACACACACACACACACACACACAGACACAAACACTGCACAAATCATGCACATCTGCTGCCAAACATGGAGAAATGTAATCTTGAAGTTTCATGTGTCTATAGAAAAGACAGCAAAGCAGCCCCACCTCCCACTCCTGCCCCTTTCCCTTATTTTCCCAATTCCCTACATCCTGCATTCTCCTAAGAGGGGGGCATTAGGAAGGACAGTTCATGATACTTTGGTTGAGAGACATGCTGCACTGAACGGCATCTCCTTACTAAAGGGTTCAGATTTACCACAGAGTTCTACATTAGCAGCACAAAATTATTTTATTCCTGCAACTGAAGGAGATCTTCATCCTATGTAGCCCAGCAAAGAGTTCATTTAAAAAGAAATAAGCAGCTCAACTGAAATGATTTAATGTTAGTGTTAAGTGTTAACAAAAACTTAGTTGTAAAAATGAAACAAATTAACTTGCATATGAAATCAGACCATCTCAGAACAGGTGCTTATTTACTACATAGAATCTATGTGAGAACACTATATTGTAATTTAGGATTGGATTAAAGATTAAAATGTTTTCACTTGAAGATGTTTTTTAACATTAGCTCTGAGTTCATCACTGACCTCCAGAAAATAACAAAAAGATTGTAAACAAATTACTCTAAATAAGCTTATCTTCCCATTTTATGAAAACACCACCATTTCAGAAACAAAAACTGACTGGGCCACTGTGTGAATCAGAAAGCAGATAAAATTTCAAGGGATATAATAATACAGTGCTCGACACATTGGCCTTAGACTTGACAACTCTCTTTCAGTTCCCAGCTCTACAACACCTTCTTTTTGACCTTTGAAAACTTCCTCTGCTTTTCAATTCCAGTCTGTGAAAGGGGTATAACTTGAATTCCCCACCTCACAGGGATGTTGCAAGAATAAATCTCCTAAAGATTCTGAAACATTCAGATGGTGCAATGACAGGGACCATACCAGTAGTTGAGAGAGTCTGTATTTCTCTTGGGTAGACTTTTAAAGTATTTATTGCTCCCCACTGCTGCTCCTGCTTTTATTCACATAAAGATACTACTAGCACCCGGAGGTAAATTGTTAGAACTACTGCAAATGTAATCTCTCCCCTGATCTCACAAACACATTTCCATTTCATCATGTAATCTCATTTTCTAAATATTTAGAATCTGTTTATTCACTCATCAATTAATTCTCAAAGGAAATTTAAGCTGCACATTGTGATACTCTGTGTGAGAAATTGCTATTTTCATTAGTTTAAGCTGTTGTATATTTGTAGACTACAGATCCTGCAACCCTTTGGTAGGAGGAGGGTATTGAGCAAGCACAGTACTTGCAGGACCAGCCCATTAAAGCCCAACATGACAGTAATAAACATACATACTGAGCTATTACACACAGTCACTATGAAAACAAACTCTCACTGCATATAACAAAAATTATACAACTGTGCAAACACAAGGCACTATTGTGTCCAACACGGAACGTAAGAAAAAAGATAATCAGCACAGCAGCATACTTTAGAGGACTGTTTCATATAGTATTATTGCTTATTTTTTAATGATACACAAATGCCACAGAAATAAAACAGGAGTGCTAGCTGCAAGGGACTTGGATGTGGGAAAAGCTTTATGGCTCCCCTGCCAGCAAAGGTGGTATGTTCAGCTAGAGGTATTCACCCTCTGTGGACTTCCTTCTGAGGTTATGTTTGTATCAACTGTTATGAATACAAGTATCAAGCAATGATATCCTGGAACACAATTCAGAAAATTACTCAAATTAGTGTCACAACTTAGGCCTGAAATGAGCACAGAATTTCAGATTTTGTTTAACATGAAGCACCCGAAAATTCTGCAGATTCTAATGTGACAAGCCTCAAATTTAGAGCTAATTCAACAAGTGTTGCAACCCTGGGATCTTAATGAGTGAACACTAGGGTGGGGTGTATTTCAAACCTGAGTGTCTAGAGTTAGCCTTTTTTATCTGTTTGTAAAACCTTGATAGGAAGCAAGGAAGCAGTATTTCTCAGACAAGCTGGGCAGCCACGGATCTCACCAAAATAACAGGAAGCTGCAAGGTATAGCCTTGCAGGCCTCAAACACATACGGTATCTTGACACCAAACATTATGAATTTAAGGTATTCATATTTTAGCCAATAACTATTAGAGAAACACAGTGTTTGATAAAACATTTTGAAGAGAGTACATGTGTATTTGCAAGCAAAGCTGCAACAAGGACAAGAAAATGATACACGGCAACAGCCTTCCTCAGTTCACACACCATCTCAGCCAGCCAAAGAGGTCTGATGATATTCATGATTAAGGTGTCTGTTAGGGTTAACTTACCCCACATTGCTCGCTGTTTACAGAGCAAAGGGATCAGCTATAAATATTAGAGGCAGATTGGGAAAACATCTGCAGACTTTTAGGGCATAGTCAGAAATAATTATATTAGGTGATTTTAACATAGGCTGCATAAATGAAACGAGTGATAATACAAACTGTAATGGAAGGATTGGGACCCTGTAAATTTAAGAAATCTGCAATCATAAATACCATAATTCAAAAAAATGATAGAAGTATTGTAATGCCTAGGTTGTAAGTGAGCTCCACAGACAGCAGGGAAAAATCGACCAATATGTAACAAAATGAACAAGAAATTTAATATAAAAAGGATAATGAGGAAATGGGTACTTGGTGTATTTAATAAATTGTCCATGATGGGATAACTATGAATTCGGATATGGCAGGATTATTTTCAGAAACAAGTGCCTGATCCATTACTATTTTTGGACAGAACCTGAATATGTTGCTTGTCTGTGTTCTTCCAAAGAAAAAAATAGAAATATGAAAGAGAATAATATTGTTTTGTCACAAGTAGCTAGGATAGAAAGCATCTGATTAAACAGTGAACAGAAATGCTCATCTGCTTCAACAAACTTCTAAACTAAACGTTAGTATGCCGGTGCTATTGTGAAAGACAATACTGAAGGGTGTTAAATATTTTGTAGCATGCTTGGAATAGTTCATGTAGGTTCAGAAAGGCAAAGGAAGAGCAGAAGGTCAGGGTATAAAATTTTGTAATACAGATGAAAGAGAAAAATGAAATTGCTGCTGATATGTTAGAGATGACTATGGAACGTTACAAATACTTTTGCAAATATGAATCCAAAAATCACTCAGAAGCTCCCACAGCTGTTTCTTTAGCTCTTATTAACTTAGTAGGGTTTCAGCTGAGGCATTAGAGTTGAACAGAGAAATTAATATAGCGTGTTAATTTTGATTTGTGAAGGTCAAAGTATAATCTGTTAAATTCAAGGATCTTCCTTTCTTAAGGAGATGTTTATAATTAACTATTTTGAGAAAATGGACAGGACTGCAAGGTGACAGATTTTTGACTAAGATTCCAATATGGCAAAAAAACACACTGTAGTGAAATACTCGGCAAATCCCAAACCCCCTTCAGAGTCTTCTCTTAATAAACATAAATAGAAACATGGACTAGAATTGCCAATGCAGAGCCCAGTGCAGGATCAGGTTTTCAAATTTCAGCTTCTGCTTGTTAGACCATTGCTTTAAACCTGCTTAACTGTGTTACTCCCTCAACTGACCACTCACCTCCACCTGCAGGCACTATCTTTCAAAATAGGCACAACACCATTTTTTGTAGAGCACTTTCCACAGAGGTGAGTTGTCAATTATAAAAATGTT